GTGGGCACTGGCTTGTGTAGCCACGTGGGCAGAGTTATTCCATTGCTGTTTATTCTGAAGTTTTCGACATGTGCGTTTTGTATGCCCCGGTTCTTTGCAGTAATAACACACTACCCCACTGGAGTCAGAAGGGGCTCCCCCTTGCTTCAACCACCACGGGTAGGCCCCCCGCGGTTATCAATGGGACTACGAGTCTCATAGGTGCCCTTACTGAGCAAGGCACTTGTAGGAATACTAGCAGCTGGTGGCAAGAGATTCTCAGCTCTCATTACTCTGGAAAACACATCTTGAAGGTCAGAAATTTCAGATCCGGATAAGATTTGAGACCGAACTGTGTCATACTCAGGTGGGAGACCAGTAAGAAAGCTCATAATAGCCATTTGCTCCCGTTGCTTATACTGAACCTTCAAATCAGCAGTAAGAGGCATTAACACATTCAGTTCTTCATACATCCTTTTAAAGTCCATAAAGTAGGCTTTGAGAGGACGATCCTGTTTTTCAGAACGATAGAAAGCTTTGCAGACCTCGTAAACACGAGAGATATTTCCTTTTCCTGAATACAAAAAATCTAAATAATCCATTAGTTCCTTAACCAATTCACAGTGATTAATAGAGGGAATAATCTCACTGTCAATGGAATTACAGATCTGGAAAAATAGCCGTGCATCATCCCTCAACCAGGTCTTTTTGGAATCAGTTGTTGGAGGATCATCAGTCAGATGGTCTTCCTTCTCAATGCTCCGCAGATAGAGGCGAATGGTTTTACTCCAATCCAAATAATTTACCCAAGTCAACTTGTGATCAGTAATTTTAGTAATAGTTGGGACAAGCTCCGAGACAGATTTAATTTCCGCCATAGATGAAGTGCACTAACCAAAGGGAATGCGAAAGAGTGTTACACAGGAACACAAAGCACGATACCTGGATTACCTAATGAATACCAAAGCAGTGAAAAGGCCAACAGCTACACAGGGAGCTGCAAACAGAATTGAATTGCACAAACAGTGTGCCGGAGATGCGCCAGAAACGAAACAGAACGCCAGAAACTAATAACCGTACGGACTGTACGGACGCCGAGTGAACAGTGCAGAGCGCCGGAAAGTCGATGACCAGTGCAGAGCGTACGGGACTGTACGGACGCCGAGTGAACAGTGCAGGGCGGTGGCACCAAGGGAAGCGTCGGGAAGAGGGTCACGAGCTCACACAGTAATTTTGGTACTGTAGCAACCGAAAATTAACACCCAGAAAGAAAATTCCCACGCTCTGATACCATGTAGGGAATAGAATAATATGGAGAATAATTCTCTTGTATTTCATTGATCAGAATATACACATATATATACAAGTGAGAGGAGCCTCTGCATTAATGGCTCATTATGATAATATCATATCCTATCAAATCCTAATCATAATTACATAATATTTACATATCAAATCATATCATATCTCTACATATTCAATTAAGCCTTCAGATTTTAGAGTTCGGACTCACAAATAAGATGGAATTTACTACCTCGAACATCCTTGCTGCCGAGAGCTATTGATGCTATTGTTGTGGTTGAATTTGTATTGCTCTCCCGACGATCTACCAAGACAAGAATATTTGTCACCAAATAAATATTGAGTGACTTAATAGGTTCATATGTTGTGCGAACATTCTAAAGTAGTAGGGACAAAGGTTTTTTTTTTTTTTCCCTTATCATTAAAATTCATTATCAGCGTACCTTCTCGTACACAGACATAGCGGTTAAAGCGTGCACCCAATACTCCATCGGCATAGCTGATTACGGGCCCCCCATAATCTGGAGTAAGAGGGATGGGAGGGACATCTGCCAGGAACCAACCACATCACTTTGGTATTAATTTAGGAGACCAGGTCCCCAGCAAAATGGGGAATGAGACTCTGACATTAATACATTAATTTTCTTTTTTAGTTGCGATAAAAAAAATTTCAAAGTTGAGTTAACGACCTTTCATCCTTTCCTTTAGAATGTTTCATGATATATTTTCAAAAATCAGTTGCAAATTACTACACAGTTAGAAGTAAATTGTGGGAGAACGTCAAGTCTTCGCACAAGTGCTTTTGAAATTTCATACTCGTTTTTTTTTTTCCTTCCAAAATTTGATACTGATAAGTGAAAAAATTGTAACTGAATCTCCAACGTTTAACATGAAAAATTGAAAAAAATAAACATTTAATAAGAGATGTAAGAATTTCACACCAAGTTTTCAAAATTTGATATTAATATATGAAAACAATTGCAAATGATATTTTAACTTTCACGAAATATTGAAAAGATCCATTGTAAAGATCTAACGCTTATATTACTGATTACATAATAATTTATAATTAATTTTTCAAAATTTAACATCAATATTTTTAAAAATGAATAATTATATAATGTTATATGATTATTAGGGGCCAAAAACACTTTATTAAAAGGTTAAAAATTTTATCTTAAACTAGAATATTGGTTTCAAATGAAGACGAAGATGGTGCAGACACACAACAAACTTATTTGTTTTTTATAAGCCGAACGAAAAAAAATAATAGAGCAGATCAGAAGAAAACCGTTACCCAAAAAAAAAAAAATCGGAAGAAAACCGAAAGAAATTTGGAGCAAACACATGACCTCGCGATAGGTCAACTGCCAAAAAAGTTCAGAGCGTCGCCCTCGTAGAGATTGAGAACTGCGAAGAAAATATAACATGACTTTGAAAAGAATGGAGAAGGATGATGCTCACCCAGAGAGGATAGAGACTGCTTGTAAAGTCTCTGATCCGAGTAATTTGCGAAAATGACAATATCTCCCGAAACAGTGAAGTCCCCACCACCATACTCCTGAGCCAATGTTCTCACTCCGAACTCTTTAGGCGTGATATCGATGGGCTCATCTCCTGCTTTCTCCGGCTCTCGAACAAGGAACCCCCTCCTGAAACACAATCATCGAATCCATTTATTTTGACGACTTTCAATTGCAGAAGATAACGAACTTGAATCTGCGAGATTTACATGAACAAATGACGATACAGAAACACAACAACATATAACAATCTTGTACCCGGACTCCGCGGGGCGCGACTCCAGCCAGATGAGGCGGCCGTGACCGTCAACGGCGATGCCACCGAGCCTCTTGGAGGCACCGGAGACGACATCGGCGGTGAGAGGAGACTTCCAGGAGCCATAGGGAGCAGTGATCGGTTCTTCTTGGGCTGCAAGAGCAGCAACATTCTTGTTGTGTCCAGAGGTTGTAATGTCAGCCATTGCCTTGCAGCTTTGATGCTGTGACTGAGTTATGGGTACAGACAATGATGAAGTTTGTTGCAACTAAGGAATCTAGAACTAGCAGAACCGTACCAGCAGCTAGTGAGCTAACCAGATTCCAAGAGGTGATCCGTACGTTGACCTTACTTCACCGAGAAAGAAAACGAAAAATTCTAAAACGCGGGAAGGCCCAGGAGGCCCAGCAGGAAACAGGCCTTTTTTTTGCTTTCTGCTTTTTTAATGTTGTTTAAACACTCAACAGCGAGGTAGGCTAACCATGCCCAAGTTTAAAACTCGCATTATATTTGGCAAATGAAGAGAGAACGAGCGAGCGTATCTATGCCCTTCCCATGGCTAAGATTTCAGCCCGGAAAAATTCTCATTTTCATCCCTTTCTGTCATTTTCATTCCAAGCTAAACAAATGTTTAATGCTTTAGAAAACCCAAATGCTCTTTGAAACAGATCAAAAAACGCGCATGACTCTGGCCGTTTTGGAGCCTATAGGAAACAACAAGGAGGGTGAAAAGCTTAAATCTAATCACCAAGCAGTAAAAAAAATAGTTTATTTTCAATCTGACTTTTAGAAAAGTAAGATTGGGTAAAAATTAAATTAAATAAGGTAAATTGTGTTTACATTGCAGTTTAAAAAAATTAGTTTGTAAAAGTAAGATTGGTAAAACGTTATTTAGATTTTAATTGAGTAAAAGTAAGTTTGTTTGAGTAAAAGAAATGGCACCAACATTTTGTCTTTCTTTCTCCACTTTTCCAATGCTATAAACTGTAATTTTTAGTTTTTGATTTAAATATATAATTTTGATATAAGTTCTTAATTTTTTAAGCTCTTCCAAATACACTCAAACATATTAAAAGTACTTTTAATCTTAAATCCTATTTAAAAGCCACTTAAACGTGCTCCAAACAGGCATTAAAATAGTCTTGCAGCCGAAGCTAAAGATTTTCAACAGGACATGCCCATGAGCCACTTTCTATCCACCGTATATGCAAAGCAATGCAATTTTACCTTTTGCAAGTTTGTGAATACTGAAGGGAGAGGGAGAACTTCACTAACTTTCCTCTCCATTTTCTTTCCACTTCATATTTTTGTTATTAGATCAAATTTCAACGACTGAAATTTATTATGCAAAAATGTTATTACAATATTAAATATTAAATAATAAAAAAGGGGCAGACAAATTTATAGTACTAAATTTAATGTGAATAGTTTGCAATTGTAAATTTTTATTATATCTAATATTATAATAATACTTTCACATAATTTTGAATATCAACCATTGAAGATTAACTTAATGATAAAGATATTAAGTGGAGAGGAAAGTTAGTGGAGACATTCTTTTCCTATGAATATTAGTTTCTTTGGCCGTAAATTTTGTAAATACAAATTGATTTATTTGTAGGCGATAGCCACATTTTTTTGGCCATCAATGTCCACGTCAAAGCTTTAAAAGGATACAATTTTGGCTTTGTACCGAACCGGATTAGTGATTGGCTTCTGGTCTAATTAGTTGAACAAACCAAGGCGCTTAAAACCATGCATATTTTCAATACATGGGTTCAGAAAAAATCCATGGAAATTGTAGGAACAAGGATCAAGTTAAAGCAATTACGCCATTTATATAAAAATACCATACAAGATTTGAGACAACGCAACGGAAATCCCTCAGCCTCAAAGCAACAAACACTAATGTAGACACTCCGCAGAGTATGATACCTCCATTAAATTTTCTCACCTAAAATTCATCGAGTAATTCAATAATCCAATCCATGACTCATTTTTCTGTAAATCTATCATCAGGAAACTCAGCGAGCATGCATCTTCACATTTTGAAGACCCATTATGGGTCGAAGTTATCAACTTTGATAGGTGTGATATCATCGGCAACCTCGAAGTGTCCAATCAATCGTGCAAAGAACACCATTTGTTGTTCAAGTGTAAACTTTATGTTTTCAGCCTGCATTCATCCCATTGTTAGATATATAGCTATTGTTTCTGACAGAGACACACAATTAACCAACTCAGTATTTACCTTTCGGAAACCATGTTGTTCTCCTTCATACTCAACAAGGGCCACAGGCACACCCTTTTCCTTCACTGCCTCGTAAATTTTTCGAGCTTGATCTGGAGGCACAACCTACAACAAGCAGAATATGTTGATTTACTACCCGCTTCAAGAGGATCTGACAGAATTTTATATTGGCTGTTGAGGGCTTAACATAACCTTTCTTATTTACTCGGATTTGGAACCGCCTATAAAACATAGGTGGAGGTAGAATATAATTTTCAATGTTATTGAATGGTTAAAGCAAATTTATGAATATGCCAACCTTAATCTTTAGACATAGGAAGGGAGGAAATAATAGTTTCATTGTTGCTCACCTTATCGTCCAAGCCTTGAAACAAAATTACAGGACAAGAAAATTTGTCAACATGGTTGATTGGGGATCTTTCAAAGCATTCTTTATCACCGCCTGCAACCAGTTAAGGGATTGCCTTAACGCTAAACACGCCCAGAATGAAATTGACTGTTACCTTAAAGATGATATTATTGACTTACCAACAAGATTATCAATGTAATGGGACTCAAATTTATGAGTCTCTGCTCTCAACAAGTTCAGATCAGCTACCTGTTTCAAAAGGTCAATTGACATGAATCTCATGTTATAATAATTAAGAATAATACTCTAGTCCTTATTACCTCCAGTATGTTTCATAATATAACATGTTTTGTCTAAAAAAATAGAAGACTGAAATCATTAGCTAAAATAAATAAACTTATTTACAGCACTTACACCAGACAAAGAAGATCCAGCCTTAAATGTTTCTTTAAAGGCAAGTGTAGCTAATGTGGTATACCCACCAGCAGAGCCGCCAGTAATGCACAATCGTTCCCCATCAACCTTTCCACTGTCCACCTGCATAACAAATCATTCATATGAGAACTCTTCCAACAAATCATTGGTAAGAGCGAAATCCACAAAATAAATTACCAAATACTTAGCACAGCTACAACAGTCATCAACGTCCACTATGCCCCAGCATCCTAAAAGTCTTTCTCGATATTGTCTTCCATAACCTGCCAAATAAAGATTTTATCAAACTAAGCTCATTTCCATAAAACATTCAATAGATCATTTGTATACAAACTCAATCTGGAAAAAGTCAAAAACGAAAAGGCTTGTGAAAAATTATCGGCTTCGAATGTGGAGAAGATCCAAAGGATAATGCATTTAAGAATTAAGAATATAATTTTGTAGCCAATGAAGGAAACAAACCAGTGCTTCCACCGTAATTTACATCTGCATATGCCCAACCTCGACTGGTCAAGTACTGAATGCTCAAGTTTAAAACTCCACGTGTTTCTTCTGTTGGTCCTCCTAAAACATTCAATAAAATATCGTGCATATAAACATGGCTGATGTACTCAGTCAAAATGTTATAGGAACCTCACTTGGAAGGTTCTCTAACATGGCAAAGTGCACGAAGCATGATAATCACGTAATCTATTATTTTTCACTTGATTCTAAGATACTCACCAGCTTTATACACATCACATTCAAATTCTGATTAAGTTTCCAGACAAATATGATATACCTTCAGTTCCACAAGTTCATATCGATTACATTTAAAAATGGCATCAGTGCCGCTCCAATATTGGTACATCAACAACTGAGAAGATTTATGGTGTAACTGCAAAGAAAAACTTAAAACATATTGCCTGCTCAAAGCCTTCAAAATCATTGGTACTAACTAGAGGGGAAAATACTACTTATTATGATTTTACTATTAAATCAGTGAGGACATTATAGCTAGTCTTAGTAATCATATGATGGGAGACTACAAACGATTTCTGGTTCCTGAGGAAACACCCCCTCTAACCTGTATGACATGTAAGTAATAAATTAGAATCAGAGAAAACTGAATGAGATTACTCTTGATACAGGACTAAGAGAAAATACCATGGCTATTTAATAACAAGGGAGGCTTTTCCCCTTGGCTGGCTTGATAAGTAGGATTATACGGTGGATAATAATATGCGTAGGCATTTTGACCAGGAACCTCTGTGGGAAACTCGATTAACTCTGGCTTGCTGAAGTAAGAACTATACTTTAAACTATCTGGTGAGGAGGACCAGACGATATTGAAGTCAACAACTTTTGACTTCTGATCATCCAAAGCCACCTGGAAGGCAAGAACTATAAGAGTCGTTGAAATAACTCAGACATTGAAGAGGAGGACATCAGGGCAGCACCTTGGCCACTGATGATGGATGAACTGCAGACGCTCCCTCTACATAGAGGCCATCTGTCCCAGAAGTCTGCATCCGCATGATTGCATGTCTCAGAGAATCATTGGGTTACCATCGTAATAATTTTAAGATAAACCAAAAGGAAGGAGAAAAATAGAGGAATGATTTTGAAAATTACAATGTTATCCATATCTGTGAAAGGGATATCAAGCACAATGATTGTTGAGCTTTCCACGTCATCAATGATTCCAAGATATGACCTCCCCTTTTGCCTATATGCACAACCAAAAACCTTGAATGAACTATAATTGATGACATTTGCAAACCAACTATATGAAAGAAAAGATGAAAAAACGATGGCAAGTGACAATCTAGAATTCACCTGTAACTGCAAGCAATCAAGCTTTTCTGTTTATCACTCTGAATAAATTCATATGAATTTATACCGAAAACCCATAATGGTCTTGTAAACTCAGCATTCAAAGAATAAACAGGGATGATCTTATTCTCGGACTCAATCTGTGGCCAATAAAAAGAAAACCAATAACAGAAAGAATCATTAAATCCATTAACGATTGTCGTATGTCCAACCAAATATGATCATGCACCCCAACTTTTGCCACAATTGTCTATTCACTATAAGATAATCAGAAATGAAATAGATGATCAACATCAAAAAGAAAGAAAGGGGAAAAAAAAAAAGAAAAGGAAAAGGAAAAAATATTAATATCTTTACCTTCTTAAGAAAATAACGTTAATCTTGAAGTAATATTTGGGTGTTTGTCAATGTTGGAAAGAAAAATGTAATGGAAGCCAATAGTACAAGTAATAGGAAAAAGAAATTTAGTAACTTACCCATTTATGAAGATTCCAAAAGCCATTCTCTCTATCAGTAATGAAAAAGAGCTCCCCTGCACAATCAAAATTATAAAACATTATTTGACTTAAAAATTAGAAGACCAAGATCAAAGCAAATTTTCTGGTTGGAGTCAACACAATGTTACGAACATAGTAATTCATTATCTCTAAAAATAATGAAATGTAGTTATGCCCCCAAAATGTGAGTGGCCAACATAATTACAGGCCTAATTACTTATTTTAATAAAGCAAGTATGTATACCATCAGGGGACCACTTGGGTTCAGTTACAGACTCCACAAGCGAAGGATCACCACCAGCTATGCGGCTGCTCCTGTGGATCTCTCTGCATGGAGTTTTAAGATCATTAAGCTTCTAATCAACCCAAGATACGGAATTTGAAAACTACAATCCCAAAACAAAAGATAAAAAGAATAGGACAATGAGCAAATAAAAACCTTTCAGAGAAAACTCATTTGATTCATGAGCCTGCTAAAGACAGCCAGGTGAATTGGAGTCAGTTTTGAAATCTTTTTGTTTCCCCAAGTTTCAAAATGCTAGTTCTCATGTGACAAGTTTTTAAGTCAACTGGAACAAAACAGTTCCTCCACAATACTGGCTTTAATATATAAATTCCTGCTCACCCATTTTCAGATATATAACCAACCCAGAGTTCTGATCTATCCCATGGCATGTTAGGGTGATTCCACTGAATCCATGCTATTCGATTTGTTTTTGGATCAAGACGTGGGAAAGCATAGAAGTCACTTCCGCTAACTAATACTTCTGGTTCTGAATGTCACAACAAAGTTGAACACAAACAACAAAAACTTGATCAGATAATGATTGGAAACATCAGAAAGCAACCGGAAAATCTATGGACATCATAATGGAATACTTATTTGCAGTATTCAGTTATCCCCGCAGAGTTTAGAGTTCAGCCTCAGAATAAGATGGAATTTTCTACCTTGAACATCCTTGCTTCCGAGAGCTATTGATACAATTGTTGTGGTCGCATTTATACTGCTCTCCCGACGATCTACCAACACAAGAATATCCATCGCCAAATAAATAAGTGGTTTAATAGGGGTGTATCTGGTGGGAACATTCTAAAGCAGCAGGGACAAAGGTGTTTTTTCTTATCATTAAAATTCATTATCAGCGTACCTTCTCGTACACAGACATAACGGTTAAAGCGTGCATCCAATACTCCATCGGCATAGCTGATTACGGGTCCCCCATAATCTGGCGTAAGAGGGATGGGAGGGACATCTGCCAGGAATGAACCACGTAACTTCGTTAGCAACTTAGGAGACCAAAGTCCACACTAAAAAGGGTAATCGACTAACGAGACTGTGGCATCGATACATTAATTAATAATTTTATTTGGATAATTTTTTTTTATCAAAATTTGAGTTAACAACTTTTAATCCTTAATAATTATATAAAATTATATATAAATATTTTTAAAATTTCATAGTACCTTTTTCAAAGTTTGACAATAATATATGAAAAATTTGCAGATAGTATTTCAATTTTTAACACGAGATATTGAAAAGACTTGTTGCAAGATTTAACATTAATTTATTATTGATTACATAATAATTTATAATTAATGTTCAAAATTTAACTTTAATATTTTTTAAAAATGAACAATTATACAATTTTATATGATTATTAAGGACTCAAGGCACTTTATCAAAATTTTTAGAGTTTTTTAACTTGAATTTAAATTAAATCGAAATACTGGTGTCAAATGAAGGGATTTAATGCCGACACCAAACATGTTTGTTATTTGTAAGCCGCACAAAAAGTTAGTACTGGTAGAGTAGATTAAAAGAAGACGGAATAGCACGATTGAAATTTGGAACAAACACGAAAAGCGACGCAAATGCTCAGGTAATAAAATCTTTTTTTTTTTTGGGAAAAAAAGGACAGAGAAAGAAAGAAAAGAAAGGAAGAAAACATAACTTGAATTGGACGAAAAGGGCAGGATGATGCTCACCCGGAGAGGCTATAGATTGCTTGTACAGTCTCTGATCCGAGTAATTTGCAAAAATAACAATACCTCCCGAAACAGTGAAGTCCCCACCACCATATTCCTGCGCCACTGTTCTCACTCCGAATTCCTTAGGCGTGATATCGATGGGCTCATCTCCCGCTTTTTCCGGCTCTCGAACAAGGACCCCTCTCCTGAAACACAATTATCGAATCCTTTTACTTTGACAACTTTACATTGCAAAAGATAATGAACTTAAATCTGCGAGATTTACATGAACAAATGGTGATACAGAAACAGAGCAACACATAACAAACTTGTACCCGGACTCGGTGGGGCGCGACTCTAGCCAAATGAGGCGGCCGTGACCGTCAACGGCGATGCCACCGAGCCTCTTGGAAGCACCCGAGACGACATCGGCGGTGAGAGGAGACTTCCAGGAGCCATAGGGAGCAGTGATCGGTTCTTCTTGAGCTGTAAGAGCAGCAGCGTTCTTATGGTGTGCTAGGATTGTTGTGTTAGCCATTGCCTCGCAGCTTTGATGCAGCGACTCAGTTATGGTGCAGACAAAGGCGAAAAGTCTTGTCCCTAAGTGATGGAATTTGTTGCGATTAAGGAAACTGGAACCAGCAGAAGCATGCCAGCAGCTTTACGCAATGCAGTTGGCAAACCAGATAAAAAGAGATTCCGTTGACCTTATTTTGCTGAAAAGAAAAAATTAAAATTAAAAAACGCTGGGATGCGCAACGACTTGATTTGAGGCCCAGGAGGCCCAGCTGGAAACAGGCCTTCTCCTTTCGGATCTTTTCCCCTTCGCTTTTGTTTTCATTTTTGTTTTAGAAAAGTATTTGACGAATGAAGAGGGTGCGCGCGCGTGCCCTTCTCAATTTTTATTCCTTTTCTCATTTCCATTGAAGGCTTTATTGTTTAATGCTTTCGAAAACTCGATTGCTCTTTGAAACAGATCAGAAGTCGTGTATAAGTCTAGCGATTTTGATTTTTTTTTTTTGGGGGGGGGGGGTGGGGGATCAGCAGCAGCTTAAACCCAGTGAAAGAAAATATCTTGCAGCCGAAGGAAAAATATATCTTAACCCAAAACGAAAAAAGGGACAAGAACTCTTCTCAGAGATTTGTTTTTGTTTTGTTTTTTTTTTTTGGGGGGGGGGGGTTCAGCCAGCCTTTCTGCCATGGGCCATTGTCAATGTGCCATGTCCATGAGCCGCTTTCCATTTATCCAATACAAACAGTTAATACAGTTTTACTTTTTGTAATTTTGTAAATACGAGTCTTTCATATTTTTGGTCATGAGCTTCGTAAATGCAAATGGATTCAACATTCATCTGTAGGCGACTAGGCGTCATCCCCGTTAAAGATCCCGAAGTATACATTATATCATATTTATTCCACTAATTTCATCTGCATGACTGACAAAAGTTTGACTCCAAAGCTCAAGAAAATAAGTTGTTCATCCTCGTAGCACTGATGCCACTGAACACTGATGGATACCTTCAGCAGATGAGTCAGAATATGCTGTCTCTCAGTCAATTATCTCTGACCTAAAACTCATCAGGCAATCAGTAAAATCCAATCCATGACTTGTTTCTGTAAACAACTAATCAGGAAAGCCAGCACGCTTCATCACCTTTTGAAGACTCATTCTCAGTCAAAGTTATCAATTTTAATGGGTGTAATCTCATCAGCAACGTTGAAGCGCCCAATCAATCGTGCAAAGAACAACATTTGTTGTTCAAGTGTAAACTTTATGTTTTCAGCCTGCATTCATCCCATTGTTATAGACATAGCTATTGTTTCCGACATAAATAGACAATCAAGTAAATCAGCGTTTACCTTTCGGAAACCATGTTGTTCTCCTTCATACTCAACAAGGGCCACCGGGACACCCTTTTCTTTCAACGCCTGGTAAATTTTCCGAGCTTGATCTGGAGGCACAACCTACAAAAAGCAGAATACGTTTAAAGTAAACTTACGAGTATGCCACCCTTAATCCTCAGACGTTCGAAGGGAAGAAATAATAATTGCATTGTTGCTAACCTTGTCCTCCAGTCCTTGAAATAAAATTATGGGACAAGAAAATTTTTCTACATGGTTGATTGGGGATCTCTCAAAGAATTGCTTTTCACCTCCTGCAATCAGTTAAGCGATTAACTGAAGACTAAATATGTCAGAAAAAACGCAGATTGTTACCTTAAAAGATGATATTCCTAACTCACCAACAAGATTATCGATGTAATGGGATTCAAATTTATGAGTCTCAGCGCTCAACATCTTCAGATCGGCCACCTGTTTCAGAGATCAATTGGCATTAATCCCATAGTGCAATCATACTAATACTTAGTTAAATTATATTGGTATACATACATACATACATACATACATACATACATATATATATATATATAAAAACTCAAAAATTCCAAAGTTCCAATGTAATCTACTCCGTTTGGCCAAAAAAATAAATGTAGTCTACTCCTACAACGTAAGCAAACATGCAGCTATATCTGTCTGTCTGAACTCAAATGTCTTGTCAGGAGAATAAAATGATAGAAATGAAATTTATTAACGAGTCAACACATGCATTCATCTTGAATTTTCCTTTCTTAATTTTGTTTTCAAGAATAAAGCTTTATTTTCTTTATTATGGAAACTAACTATGCTATTTTGGCATTCTCAATCATGAGTTGGCTGCTTATTTCAGCAAAACCATTCCTCAGAGAGCTAAAAATATGAACTTCTTTTATCATTATTTTCCAACGTTGTCAAATTCCCTCTTAACTAATGACCAAAAAAAAAAAACCTTGTTCACCATCAAGATAATGCATATCACTGACAAGTCAGAAACCTATAGCACGTGCTATTTTTAATGATTAAAAAATAAATGAGAAGGCTGAAATCATTAGATAAAACAAGTAAGCTTATTTACAGAACTTACACCATACAAGGAAGCCCCAGCTTTAAATGTTTCTTTAAAAGCAAGAGCAGCTAAGGTGGTATACCCCCCAGCAGAGCCCCCAGTAATACAAAGTCGTTCCCCATCTACCTTTCCACTGTCCACCTGGATAACAAATCATTGATGAGACTAATCGTCCAGAAAATCCCCTAAATGGACAAGCCCTAAATGGACAACATGCTCACCAAATACTTAGCACAGTTGCAACAGTCATCAACGTCAACTATTCCCCAACGACCCAAAAGTCTTTCTCGATACCCTCTCCCATAACCTTCCAAATGATGTTCTCATCAGAAAACACATTCCATAAGACATTCAACAGGTCATAGTAATATGAACTCGATCAGGAAAAAAAGCCAATAGCAAAAAGGCTTGTAGAAACCATCTGCCTCAAACATGTTAAGAATATTCATTTGTGGCCAAGGAGGGAAACAAACCAGTGCTTCCACCATAGTTAACATCTGCAAATGCCCAACCCCGACTGGTCCAGTACTGAATGTTAAGGTTCAAAATGCCACGTGTTTCAGCTGTTGGTCCTCCTAAAATGTTCAATGAAAAACCATGCATATAAATACGGCTGAGGTACTCGGTCAAAATATTATATGAACCTCACCTGGCAGGTTCTCGAACAGTGGAAAAGTGCAATAAGCATGATGACTAGGTGTTCCAATGTTTTTCGCTAGAATTTGATTCACTTAAAACTTCACCAGCTTTCTATATATCACATTCAAATTCTAATTAAGTTTCAAGACATATATGATATACCTTCAGTCTATTAGTTTTTCGGAGAGTTCAGATTGATTTTATTCCTTAAATAAAACTTGGCAATATAATAAATATAAAGTGGCATTAATACTGGCTCCAATATTGGTACATCATCCACTGAGAAATTTATGGTAAAATTGTAAAGAGAAACAAAAAAAAAACACGCTATCTGCTCAAAGTCTGCAAAACTGTTGGCACTGACTAGCGGGAAAAATAAAAGAGCATAGGCAATAAACCAAAGCTACCACGTATTTAACAATATCAACAAAAGAAAAATGATGCATCACCGCTACTATTTCCCTCTATAATACACTCATGAACCTCATAATACACATAATTATTTATGGTTTTACAATTAAATCAGTGAGGATATTATATCCTTTCTAAGTAGTCACATGAAACGAAACTACATGATCTCTGGTTCCTGAAAAAAAAAACCCTCTTCTAGTCTCTCTAACATGTCAGTGATGAATGAGAATATGACATCGAAGATTAATCCTGATACAGGACTAAGATAAGAGAAAATACCATGGCTCTTCAATAACAAAGGAGGCTTCTCCCCTTGACTGGCTAGATAAGTAGGATTACATGGTGGATAAAAGTAACCATAGGCATTTTGACCAGGAACTTCAGTGGGGAATTCAATCAGTTCTGGCTTACTGAAGTATGAACTATATTTTAAACTATCCGGTGAGGAGGACCACACAATATTGAAGCCAACAGCATTTAATTTCTGATCATCTAAAGCCACCTGAAAAGCGAGAGGTATAAGGGGGCATTGAAATAACTCAGACATTGAAAGGAGGGCAAGAGGGCAGCACCTTTGCCACTGATGATGGATGAACTGCAGATGCTCCCTCTACATATAGACCATCTTTCCCTGAAGTCTGCATCAATGTGTCGTATTATTTTTGGGTTTACCACCTTAAAAATTTTTAGACAAACGAAAAGAAGTAGAAAAACAAAGAAACAATTATTTAAAATTACAATGTTATCAATGTCTGTGAAAGGGATATCAAGCACGATAATTTTTGAGCTTTCAACGATATCAATAGTTCCAAGATATGACCTCCCCTGTTGCCTATATACATGACCAAGAACCTTAAATGAGCTATAATTGATGACACTTGCAAACCAACTATAAAAAAGAAAAGATAAAAAGAAAATGGAAAGAAAGTAGCAATCTCGAAATTACCTGTAGCTGCAAGCAATTAAATTTCTCTGTTTATCATTCTGAATAAATTCATAAGAATTTGTACCAAAAACCCATAATGGCCTTGAAAACTCAGCATCCAAAGAACAAACAGGCACCACCTTATTCTCTGACTCAATCTGCAGCCAATTAAAAGAAAACCAAAATAGAAAGAATCAGTAAATTCATTAACGATTATTGTATGTCCAACAAGAGAACATGTTGATGCACACCCATTTTTTCCACATTTATTTAGTCAACGTGGTATTTGAGATAAGCAGAAACGAAACAGATGATCATACTTGGAAAAGCAAATTATCAGCAGGGAGCATTCGTATCTGTATTGTTTAACAATTCGGTACTCAAATCCAGTAATAGGAACAACACAGCATGTAAATAATTAACGATATAATGTATAAAATGTTAATTTGGCAGATTTCAAACTGACCATGGTTGTTAGAAGGAAGAAAACAAACATATTAGAAACTGCACTTGGTCAAAACCATTTATTGTAACTGGTAAATGGAAGCACACAACGTTGGCTTTAAAAATTTCATGCTAAAAGTATGATGCTTTTCAATGAACTGTTCCATTTCTGAGTACTAAAATCGCAATTTTAACATACCCCCGAAAGATGATAATATCATTACGTTAATGAAATACAATTAATCTCAGTAATAAATGGGCATTCATCAATGATGAAAAGAAAAACATAATGGAAGCCAACATTTATAGTTAATGTTACAGAAATAATAAGATAAAGAAATTTACCCATTTATGGAGATTCCAAAAGCCATTTCTCCTATCAGTAATGAAAAATAGTTCACCTGTGCAATTAAAATAAAAAAAAAATTTGTTTGACTTAAAAATTAGAATGCCAAGATCATTGCAACTTTTCTAGTTGGAGTAACAAAATCTTTAGAACACAGCGACAGTATACATAAATTTATAATACTCACGGAGGGCAACATGCCTCTCTAAAAACAACAACATCCATTTACGCACCAAGAGTGTGGGTAGCCAACATAATCACATGCTTAATTACTTATGTTAATGGGGCAAGTTTCTATACCATCAGGGGACCACTTGGGTTCAGTTACAGACTCCACAAGGGACGGATCAACACCAGCAATGCAGCTGCGCTTGTAGATCTCTCTGCATGGAATCTTAAGATGATTAAACTGCTAATTGAAACATGACACACATAGAATAGAAAACTGTCACTAACTGTGATAAGAATTTGAAAAAAGCTGTCACGCAAAATTTGAAAACTACAATCCCAATAAAAAAGAAGCCTTGAGTTTCAAAATGCTAGTTCTTATGTGATTAGTTTTAGGGTCAACTGGAACAAAATATATCCAACACAAAATTGGTTTTACTAAAATCAGTTTATATCCCAATTTGAGTTTTATGTGTATAGCCGTAGGGTTCACAAGTTACTTGAATGCCCGTAATAATGTCAGCTATTCCTATCAAAACATGGAATATAATAGCCAAAGCACATCATGCAATGGAAGTGTATAATGAGAGTATACGTCATTATCAATTCAATAAGAGAACCAACTTGGTAAACAAACTGAATTCTTCTGACTGATTTATAATTCCTGCTCACCCATTTTCAGATATATAACCAATCCAGAGTTCTGATCTATCCCAGGGCATGTTAGGGTGATTCCACTGAATCCATGCGATTCGTTCTGCTTTTGGATCAAAACGTGGGAAAGCATAGAAGTCACATCCGCCAACTAATACTTCGGGTTCTGAAATGCCACAACAAAATCTTGATCAGATAATGAGTGGAAACATCAAAAAGCAACCGGAGAACCTATGGACATCATAATGGAATACATATTCACAGTATTCAATCAAACTGCACAGTTGAGAGTTCAGACTCGGATAACATGGAATTTACTACCTTGAACATCCTTATTGCCAAGAGCTATTGATACAATTGTTGTTGTTGAATTTATATTGCTCTGCCGACGATCTACCAAAAAGATATATCACCAAACAGTTGAGTGATTTAATAGGTGCAGATGTAGCGGGAACATTCTAAAGTAAGCAGTAGAGACAAAGGCTTTTTCATTTCATTTAAAGTTATTCTCAGCTCACCTTCTCGTACACAGACATAACGGTTAAAGCGTGCATCCAATACTCCATCAGCATAGCTGACTACTGGTCCCCCATAATCTGGCGTGAGCGGGATGGGAGGAACATCTGCAAGGTACGAACCACATAATTTCAGTATTAATTATATTACATGAATTTCTGTAGAGTGTAGAGCAAGCATATTATAAAAATGCCATCCCCATTCTCTACCTAAGTTCTCCTACATCACCGCTTCACATACACGTTCGAGAGCATCAAGTAAAGGTGGTGCAGCGCAGACACCAAACTTATTCGTTGTTTATAAGCCAAACAAACATTGAAACAAACATAAGACTGCACAATAAGTCAAAACTACCTAAGAAGGTAAAAATCGCGGCACAAGATCCCCGCTAGTAAAATCTGTTTGGATTTTTTTTAAACAAAGTTATAACTTCACTTTCAAGAACGGGGATGATGATATGCTCACCTAGAGAACTTATAGATTGCTTGTACAGTCTCTGATCCTTGTAATTTGCAAAAATAACAGTATCTCCCGAAACACTGAAGGCACCACCTCCATACTCCTGAGCGACTGTTCGCACTGCGAACTCTTTAGGCGTGATATCGATGGGCTCATCTCCTGCTTTTTCCGGCTCTCGAACAAGGACTGCCCTCCTGAAACACAATCACTGAATCGATTTATTTCGACATCTCTAAATTGCAAAAGATAGCGAAGACAGGTCAGAGAGGTTCACTTGAGCAAGTGATAAAGAAACAGAACAGCATATAACACTCATACCCGGACTCGGTGGGGCGGGATTCCAGCCAAATGAGGCGACCATGACCGTCAACGGCAGTGCCACCTAGTCTCTTGGAAGCACCGGAGACAACATCGGCGGTGAGAGGAGACTTCCAGGAGCCATAGGGAGCAGTGACTAGATCTTTCTGAGCTCCCTGTGCAGCAGCATCCTTGTTGCGTGGTCTTGGTACGGTAGCCATTGCCTTGAAGTTTGATGCTGCGACTGAGTTATGGTGCCAACAAAGGCGGCAAGTCTTGTACTGAAATGGTGGGATTTGTGGCGATTAAGGAATCTATAACGTGCAGAAGCATAACAAGGAAGGATTCTGCCTGCGGCGAACGTAGTCATCCACTGGAATTAAGGAATCGCTCAGGATTTTTTTTCCCCCTGTCGCCACATTTTGCCGGAAGGTGGCAAACAAAACAGGACCAAAAAAAAAAACAGAGCAAAACAAAACAAAAAAGGTAAGGGCCGGATGACCTGATTGAGGCCCAGCAGAAAATGAGCCTTTTTAAATTTTTGAAAAACAAAAGTGGGCTAAGCTAGAACTAAACGGGGGAACGACCCCACCGCAAGTTTTGAATGAAACTGCTAAAACTGTCATTTTTTTGTATCGATTATCCCGCAACATACACTGGTATTTTTTTCACTGAGGTGACATGATACATTGTAAGTTAAAAAAACTACTTTAAAAGTTAAGTACTGCTTTAGAGCAATGATGCTAAGACGATAATGAAAAGGAAAATTACACGCAGGCTAGAGTCCCCATTACATAATAAGTTGAGTTTTTTCAACAAAAAAAAAACAGAGAGAAAAACTATATATTGATCGTATACAAAAATTTTCACAAATGTCTGCAAACTTGGCAACTTACAATTTGCTCTTCAGCGTTGAAATTATCATATAATTTCCAAAAAACAAATAAATATTGGGCTGAATCCCAAACCGCAGGCCTGAGAGCTAACGCCGAACCAAGCTTTCTGTACTAGCAGTGAGGAATGATTGAGAGAAAATACGATTAGATGTGCGCGTGCGTGTGTGAACGGAGACTGTGAATAATGGCCGTTTACGATAAGCATGGAGCTGGTGCTGTGTGTGGACCATAGGAGCGGAGAGATATGGAGGACTTCTCATTTTTCACCTCAAAAAATAACGAAAACTTTTCGAAGCTATTTATATGGAGGGTGAACATATATGTGTTTTGTTATGCCCTCGTCGGCTATATGAACATTTGCATGTGTAATATGTTATATATTAAATGAATTATATAAGTTAAATTTAAGTTATCAAAATTATTACAACTTGCAAGAAAATGTTGCGAGTTGTTGTGTGTACACAATGTACAGGCTAAAAATTTATGTATTCCTTTCACTTTATACATAATTTTAATTTGGCCATTAACTTTGAAAAGTATTTTTTTTAACCTTCTAATCTTAAAATACGTGGCAAAAAAAAAGTTTATGGACTGACCCCATCGTTTCCAACCCATGGGAACTACAAGATCACCCTAAGAACGCTTTCAGGCTTAAATGATTTTTTTTAATAACAATTATGATTGTGTTAAAAATTAAATTTCATATATTAACATTTAAAAATATCTTATTAATATTTAAAATCTTGATATTATCATTTTTATTAACAGTTTTAGAGTTAAAGAGTAATCAAATTAAAACTCTTCATAAAGTCGGAGTATTAAATTTATACTTTATCCTAGGGGTGTTTGGATATCCTGAAAAGGGTTTCTCAAAAGTTTTTTCACAAATCGAGATAAACTCCTTCATATATTTATCTCGTAGAGCGCAAAATTACTTCTAAAACTATGGTTTGGTTTCCATCCAAACACTCCCTAATATATAACCCATTGACACATCCTACGTACACTGAGTTGGGATTTCTTCAATGCATATAAAACGGGTTGGCCCAATTCAACCTATTCTACACTATTGTTATAAAAACCTCATCAATTATTGTACCAAAAAGAAATCTGATCAACTATATTAAACCAGTCGAGAATACCAATTCACATTTTAATAGCCAGCCTGTGATGGAAGAATTGGTGATAAATAAATGAACATGCCAAAGCTGAGTATGAACCAGATGCAGAATTAAAACATAATATGAAGGATGAGCAAAATTTGCATATCAATTTATAAGAGTCCCTGAGATTACCCCAACATATTGAAGCTTGACCCCCACCTCCCGGGTCAAGAGAAGGAGAACTTCTCCGAGCATATATACCGAAACACGTTGAAATTAGATACGGTGCTTTAGAAAACCCAGTTTGTTTCTCTTTGAAGCAGAATAAAAGATATGCATGATTATGGAGCCAATTAGAAACAAAAACAAAAGGGCTTAAATTTAATAAATAAAAGTATCCTGTAGCATAACTTAAGATAAAAAGTCGGACGAGAATTCTTCTGGGTTCTGAGAGATCACTAATGATGCCCATAACCTCTCTCCATTCACCATACTTTTTGGCTTAAAAGCAAACGAATCGCTGTTTCAGTGACCCATATCCGACTTTAAGGCAGTATCATCATTTTCAGATTCTGCTCTTCTTACTGTTTAACTCCGAAACCAAACACAAGTTTTGCTGTGATTTTTAGCTTTCTTTCGCCCCCTTAAGAGCTTCAGATGTAACCCCACAGCTAAATTAGCAAGTACGACACATCAAGCTTTTTATAAAGTATAAGTGCTTTATATTTATTATAGAGTGACGAGTTTTGATTGTGTATCAAGCAAAGCATGTCAAATCTCAATCAGCTAAGGTACAAGTTCCTTGCTTTCTACAGAAAAGAGGGTTTCTGATCAAATGTAGTATATCTTTCCAAATAAGCCCCAGGTAATTGAATCTGTCACATTATTGAACAACTAATAAAGGCGGGGTTAAATCAGTGATCCCGTCACCACACCAATAATTGAAAGCACAAAGACAAAAGGACTTGGATTTGAAAGTAATTGATCTGAGGACCATTCATTGATTCCAAACTCCTCCAATCTTACATGCTGTCAGAGTTCAGCCTAACTCGATGTGTCACTTACGAACCAAAAACCAGAAAAAGCCACTACTTGAGGCCTCCAGTGCCTTCCAAACGTTTCAATATCTCACACCTCAATGTTTTAATTTGATCCTCATCCAGTACCAACGGGCAGCGGCTCTAATCAAGCACAGTGTTTCTTTTCTTTTTCATCATGCTCGTGGCTGACACCAAAAGGGTGTGGCGGATGAAAATGCTAGCTAGCTAGCGTACGAATGATGCGACCAGAAGTTTAAACCAGAAGAGCACGAGTGGCACGAAAATTAGAGCTGTTCAAATCAGAATGGAACGTAACATAGGCTAGCAGCTTTATTTCCCTAACATAGTACCATGGGAAATGCCGACACGGCTCCCTGCTTTTTCACAAGTCGCATGAAAGGTCCCCACTTGGGGCACTAATTACTCAAATTTGTTCTGGAGATTGTTGGAAAGCATGCGTGTCTTCCGAAACGGTGTTGTTTCCTAGTCTAATTAACTGCTTGAAAGGCTAAAACCCGGCTTTAACTCTGCAGCTTTATCATATATAAATAAAAACTAATAGTATGGTATGAGGTGGATGCCAAAGAAGTGCGAGTTTGAAATTGAAATAATACGACAAGGAGTAACAGATAAAAGGGGGGGGGGGGAGTAGCGCTTGGTACAACTGGACGCCTTGACAAATTCTACGGCCTAACACCCCTTCACTGAGAATGACCTATGGTCTGACACATTAAAAAGGAGCAAATAAAGGGGACAATGGAAAGGGATAGTCATTTAGAAGCAAAAGTGATTCCATGTTCACAGCGCAGAAATGTTAGGGGGGGAAGGATGAGCTGCATCTCAATAATTAGTGATGGTTTTGTGATGGGTTTTTCCAAAAGCATAAAGCAAGTGATGTTGAGCCACATGCCCACTCAACAAACTATAATATCCTTTTCGATCTTCCTCCCCTCTCTCTCTCTCTCACCTTTTTCCGATAAAATTTTGATTTATTTTCTTCCTCAACGCCCCCACAATCATACCCCGTGGTCCAGCATCTCCTTACCTTATCACGTTCTAGCTCCTATCTATTTCAGAAACTTGGTCACGTCAACCTTCAATCACAGTTCTTTTCTTCGCTTAAAGTAATATGAAAGGCCCTCTTACATTTCCCCCACTAGATAGATTCCAAGACACAACCCAATTAAGTGATCAACTAACTTCCTAACTGGCCTGCCCTACACTAACACTGGCACGACCCAACTCTATAAGGCTATATGTATCCCTCTGCCCTGTGAGCCGTGAGATGACTACAAGCTCTGTTTTTTTTCTGAGAAGTGAAACCTTAATATACATGATATGCCATAATTATTATGTCATCTGCTCAATCTAGTCCCTGCTACCCCATGGAAAACCCAGTGATAGAATCTCTGCTCCGCCACAGCCATCATAGGTCGGGGGAGAAACGTGGCGGCGGCGGCAAGTTCTCCGCCGGCGGCCTGTTAAAAATGTTCAAGCTCTTCCCTATGCTGACATCGGGCTGCAAAATGGTGGCACTTCTGGGAAGACCCCGTAAGCCTATGATCAAGGACAATGCGACGTCGGGCACAATCTTTGGATACCGCAAAGGGAGGGTGAGCCTGGCAATACAAGAAGATCCTCACTGCATGCCATTCTTCCTCATAGAACTACCGATGCACACGAGTGCTCTGAACAAAGAAATGGCGTCGGACATACTGAGGATTGCGTTGGAGAGCGAGACGAAGACGCCTAAGAAGAAGCTGTTGGAGGAGTTTGTGTGGGCGGTGTATTGCAATGGAAGAAAAGTGGGTTACTCGATAAGAAGGAAGCAGATGAGCGAAGATGAGATGCATGTGATGCAGCATTTAAGAGGGGTGTCAATGGGTGCCGGAGTTATTCCGAGTCCGTCGGAGAAGGAAAGTCCAGATGGGGAGTTAACATATATGAGGGCAAGATTTCAGAGGGTGGTAGGTTCCAAGGACTCTGAAAGTCTGTACATGATCAACCCAGATGGCGGTGCCCAGGGCCCAGAGTTCTGTATTTTCTTTGTTAGAGCTCACTAGGTTATTACTGAAATAATTAGGACTGCAACTCATGTAAACATGTCCCTTCCTTTGTCTTCTCCAAGGTGCTAATGCAGTATAATATTAATTGAAACAATCAATCTCTCCAGTCTTTGACTCGTTTTTCTACCTGATATTGAATGACAAATTTATCATCAAAAGTGGATGGCCTTCTCTTTGTTCCCCGTGTTCTAGTGGGCGTGAGTCAATCCCCAGAATGCAGCTATTAATGATGGTTAAGGGATGCTTTTTATTTCTCAGTACTCTGTAAACTGGATAAAACTAGCTCTCAAGTCTCAACCAAGCTACATGCTCAAGTTCAACAGTTCGATATTAAAATGATATCACAAAATCGCTGATCCTATAGCCATTTGATGTCCTGTTTTAACCCAATTTCAGTTAATTGATTTGGTCGTGGAAATTCACGGTGGAGATAAGCCAAAGAGATTGTACTAACAGATGCTTTTCTTGAAGGAGATCAAAGGAGCGTGTAAGTTTGGTAATTACGTCAACAATAGTCCATAATTATGGATCAGAATTCAGAAGAATTTAACTTATAATAATCTCTATGAAAATATCGTGAGGACAGGGCCCCGGGACTTGAATGGACGACGACGACGTGTTCCGTTAAGTGCAAATATCGGCAATAAATTTTATAGGCCAGTAGCCCAGTAGGAAGGGGGCAGATGATGGTGCTAAAAGTGGTTACGTTGCTATAAGCTTTCAAGCTTGGTGATTCGGTGAAACCCTGGATCAGATAACCTTGACGTGCGCATTCATTTTTTTCTGGTGAGACGACACACTGGCTAATTTGGTACGAAGGAATTGAAAGGAACAAAATGTAAGAAAAAATTTGAACAAGCTCAATTTAAAAAATTATAAAAACAGAAAATTTAAATTGAGTAATTAAAATTTTTTTCTCTCTCTTTTCTTTCCTCCATTTTCCTCGTATGGGATGTAATTGTGTTTCCGCGCAATCTTCTCAGGGGAAGAAGGAAATGGGTCCCAGTCAGGCAACAATACTAGTATACTACAATAGTATTGCAGCGGGTTTGAATAGTCCGCGAACCCGTTTATTTCAATTGTCGACTCCTCCCAGATGAGCGGATTACCCGCTTCTCTTTGGGTTGAGTTGGGTTAAAGGGGTTCGGACTTCAGAAGGAAGGCCCGTGAATCCTTGGGCATGACAACCCACTTTGCTTTTTAAGTTGAGAGGGGGAAATTTAGTAATCAATGAACAAATTAGATAATTTATTTTAAGTCTCTGTAGGAAAAATGAGTGGGTAGAAATTCGAATTCTTTTTGATGTGGATTGATGCTGTAAGAAAATGAATCTTAATTTGACAAGGTTCTTGATGATTCGGAGCTCGCGCTAAACCCACAAGTGTCTTGAGTATTGGAATTATTTTTATTTGATGAAATTGAACCAAAGTCGCATTGATTGATTGTTCGAATAATGTTTTAGATTCTTGTTTTTTTTTTAGTGTAGTTCTGTGTGAATAAACTACATACTTCTTTTTCTTCCCCATTGCGTTTTGAGGCTTGATATGTGCTATTAATGACGCATGCATGATACGTTTTGCTTTAAATTTGAAATGAGCGTTGATCATTAATTTTTTTTTAAAAAAAAAAGCCTCAATATTTTGGGGGGAAAAACGAATTTTTGTGGGCTGCGAAAGTCTGTCAGGTACGCGAATATGGCTGAGTCAGAGGATTCCTTAATTTATCAAGGAATTCGATGAGAACTGAATTTGCAAGATTAAAAAAGGAATTGGATTGGTCTGGATACATAGATAAGAATATAATATTTCGCTGACGCCTTCGATTTTTCCTCCCACGGGTGATGTCCACGCTGCCTGAATACAAGTGATCAGACATTTTGGCAAACTCGCGGGATCGTTGGAGTGAGGATCGTTTCATCCCTTCTCGCAAGCCAACTGTCCATTTCCTTGAACGGTGTCCATCTTTTCTTTGTTTGGGCCTTATCCACCTTTCGGCCTAAACACATGCTATACAAACGCATTTCAAATCTTCTACTCTTTTTTATTCTAAACCGTTAACACAAAAACTACTTGGAAATTGTTCTGGTCAGAGAAACTAGTTGGAATTGAATTTTGAATAAGATTTCAATTCGTTTTATTATTCATACTTATCATTTTTTTACAATTAATTTATGTAACATATAAATTTATATATAAATAAAATAAAAACCTACTATATTTATCATAATAAAATAATTGATCTAACTCTGCTGATTTAAATTAGTTAGCCAAGTAGCTCCCATTATATTTTATATTGGTATTAATGGTTCTGCTGCACAAACTTTTAGGTTAGTGTCCGTACTCCATGGCAGATCATTTATGCGAGGCAACAAGACATGGTCGTGGAGCTATCAGGGCTGCCCGAGAATTATATGCCATGCATCACTGGGCTCGAGTGGCCTCCCTAAAACAGAGATGGTTTAAACAGCATAAAAAATGACCAGTTTTGTACTTTTAGACGTCTTTGATAATTATAGATCATAGAGGAATGAATGAATTATCGCACATGAATCATGCATTAAATTATGCCGTGCAGATCATGAAGGCTGTGAAAGTCTGCGTTTTAAAGGTGGGGTTATTGTAGCGGTGGGACTGTAAAAATAACACGGAAGCGGGGCGAAGCACTGTGCCGGAGAAAGAGAAAGACAAGGTTGGACATTATCCAATCAAGAAACACTGATGACGGGGAAGATGCAACGGATGAAAAATAGGGAGGAAGAGGAAAGCAGGAGAAGGGGGCACAAAATGAACCAAACAGCAGCCCAGGGAAGAAATGGAGACCAAATGGCGGGGGACCAAGCGCGAGCGGCAAAACGGTTGGAAGGGGGCAGGGATGGGGCCCGGGGATGGCAAAATTATTCATGCAAATCTCTTGGACGAAATACCGAAGACTGCATACAGCAACAGGGCCAGGCACGGGGGCCCACGCAGGCCGCAACATACGCCATTATTGTTCGGGGTTGCAAATGAGAAGGGAGGATGAAAAACACGAAAGGGACCCCTTTGAATGCTAAGTTGCTCGAGTTTCTTTTGTTCAATGTGCTTATTCCTATTTGTAAGATTGGTTTTGGAGATGTTTAAACATTCAATATTTTTTTATTTTAAATTAATTACATGCCTCTCATATTTTAATAATTTTAAATAGTTTTTAAATTTGCAAAATTGAATTATCTAAAATTTATTAAGAAAAAGACCGATCAAATAGGGGATAATTAATTAGAGTCATGTAACGTGATGTGGAAGAGGAGAGAAGTGAGTCGGTGGGCTAGGATTTGGAGCCAGGCCAGCTGTTGGATACTGCATCAACTGCCCAACTGCTTGTGCCCACAGCCACAACCCTCCAATTATCTATATTTTAATTAACCTGCTCGCGGCTTTCTTCTGCCCCCAGTTCCATACCCCGCATTTCAAGCGCGTCCGTCGTTCTCACCCCGTCCCATTTTTTATCTCTCTTTTTTCTTAATGTAATTATATTCTACCGTACCCAGATCACTGCCCTCCCTTGCATGTGATTCATATGACATAAAATATCTTCAAACAATTTTTTTAAATTATTATGTTTTATCGGCCTGACATTAAAATTCTTCTGAAACACAGAATCAAAAAATAATTACCCAGAGTTCAGCGGAAAGGTGCGAAACAAACTTATGAATAAAATAAGAGAAAAATTTATATGGAACAAGGGATATATAAGTAAAATATTTTCATATATAAAAATGATTCTGGGGGAAAAAAGGAAAATTAATGAAAGAACAAAGTGGGGACTGAGTATATAATTCGGGCTGTGGTAATAAAATCATAAAATGGACAGGGAGGAGTGGGGAATAAATATAACCCTGGGGTGTGCGGATGGGACATGCATAGGAGAATAAAGATGAGAGGAGAAGTCAAAGGAGGCGAGAGGGATGGAAAGTAGCAAAAGGGGGGAAAATGAATCACGTGAGATTCGCCCAGGCTGGAGGTGGGGCCATCCTACGTGGAGAAGGGTGCTGTTCAGGTCATACCACGCCTGCTGCCTCTCCTTAATTTAACAACAAATTAAATCACTGATCTCGCCCTCTCCCTTTGATTTTGGCCTCCCTCCAGCTATGCGTCCCCTTCCCCCCTTCCTCCCCACTTCCCTCCCTTCCTTATTTTATTATTCTTCCACGCTTCTTTTCTCTCATGTTTTACTCGCCCCTCCCATTCTCATTCATTAATCCCTCCTGTAGTCCTTCTTTTTCGCCCTCAACGATTCCTTCCCCCAATTCCTAACCATCACCGCCCTTTTCACCACACAATTATAACAACTAACACGATATGAAAAAACTTGAAAAATACCTCTTCCGGTTTTTATTATAAAACTTTATTTGATTTTTATTTGGTCCTAAATATAAGACTCCAATCTATTTTGTTTTTTATATTTATATTTTTTTTTTTCAAAGAAGTCTTCCTAACAATAATAGCTCTAGCCAATACAATTGATTAGTAAGGATATTTTAAGAAAGACAACAACTATTTATTACAAATAACTACTTAACTTCTTTGTTTAATCTCTTCAAATTAGTCAACTAGCTTTTATTATTAGGATAGAAAGTAGTAGTATAAATCACGAAATTTTACATGGGAACAAAAACACAAAAAGAAAAACTTATATGGTAGTTTACATGTGCCTGTGTATGTCTGTACGTAGTTATACACACACACATACATATTTGCCAATTTTATTCAGGCCCTCCATGTCTTAACGCCCACTCTACACAGTTACTTGATTTTTTGTAAGAGAAAAATTGTCATGATCCCTGGCTGTGTAATTCAATCCTCTGGAACAGGAACGACGTTGCTCATTTTCATAAAATAATATTGAAATGTTTTCACAAAAATAATAAAAAGCAAAATTACTAGTATTACTTTCTATTCCTAATATAACATCCATTTAGGCAGTTAGATTTAATCTTAAATGTAAGATTTAATTTCAATCCGTTTTATCTCTCGTGACTACCATTATTTTTTCACACTAATTAACCTAACTTATATAAACTAATACATATAATCTAATGTTATACTTAAGCATCCTATATAATTAATTTATTTATTTACAAAAGTAAGAAGAAGAAGAAGAAGAAGGCGGATTAGAACAGGAAGAAAATGGTGGACAGTGGGCTAGCTTGGGTGGACATAAAAGAGGGGAAGAAATGTGGAAAAGGACAAAAAAGGGAAAAGCAACAAAAGAAGACAAGGCGGGAGGAGGGTTTGATGGAGCATGCTAGCAGTCCAGCACCAACTATGCATTATCAAAGCGAAAATAGGCGCAGTCAGGCGCAGTATATATATGAAGCCACACACCCACCAACTATACACAACCCTCTTTCGTGGAAGTATCCTCCTTCCTCGCACCTTTACCCTCTCCCCAGCCTCGTCCCTTCCACTCGTGCATGCACCACTCTCACTCTCTCTCTCTCTCTCTCTCTCTTATATATTCCCAACCCAGACATATTTTTTTTGCCTTACACCCACAACCTAAGATCCTTCTTTTCATTTCTTCTTGACGTTCAACACTTCCCTTCCTCCTTCAATCTCTATGGAACCAATCAATACATGCTCTTCTTCCGCTTCTTCTTCTGATGACTCTTCCACTTCCGGCTCTTCCTTCTCCAGCAACCCCCACAGGAATCACGACAATCCCGACAGAATCAAGGGCCCCTGGAGCGCCGAAGAAGACCGGATTCTGACCCGACTCGTTGAACGATATGGGCCCCGAAACTGGTCCTTGATCAGTCGCTACATTAAGGGAAGGTCCGGCAAGTCCTGCCGCCTGAGATGGTGTAACCAGTTGAGCCCCAGCGTGGAGCACCGTCCATTTTCCCAACAGGAGGACGACACCATCATAGCGGCTCATGCTCAGTACGGTAACAGGTGGGCCACCATCGCCCGGCTACTCCCGGGTCGGACCGATAATGCCGTGAAGAACCACTGGAACTCCACGCTCAAGAGAAGGGTGAAGGAGCAGCGTGCGGCGGAGGGCGGAGGTGCTAGTGTTGCCAACGACAGGGTTCTTGGTTCTCCCGGATCTGTCCAGCCCTGCATGGGATTAGAAATGGACAATGACCCGCTGACGGCGTTGACTCTGGCGCCGCCTGGAGCTAACGTGGCCGCGGCTGAACGCCAGCCAAGTCCGGGGAACGTGCCGGCGGGGTTCTGGGATGTGATGAGGGGTGTGATAGCGAGAGAAGTCAAAGAGTATGTTTCTTCCACGTTTTCTGAGAACCCAGGCTTCCATTAACATTCGATGAATGAGTAGGGTGCATCCTGGACTTTTGGCTCCGATCTGCGATCGGAATATCGGGTTCCGCAATTAGGCTTTTGATGTGAATATGAATGTTCAGTTTATGGGTAAAATGTTATTTCATTGTAGTTTCTTCGATGCTTCCCTTCACTATACTCCCATATTCAACCGAACATCGCGCTGTTGGTCATATCAACGTTGCCGTGCAAAATACTGTCAAGATGCTCGCTTCGTATTTACGTTACTCATGTTCGGTGCGGTGGCCATTAAGTAAGACCTGTTTCCGCGTGAAGTCATAAATCTGTTAGTGAGCATGAAGCTCGTTGTCTTTCCATTAATTGTTTTATATTTGAATGACAATTTAACAATAGAAACTGGGCACTCTATATAAATAGCCAGCCAGCCAAATGCATACACAAACACACAAACAATAATTGTCTATTTGGTTTTTGGAGCAAAGATAGTGTTTTATATCTATCTGCAGAATCTGGTTACCAAGTTGATCTGTCTGGTCTCTGGTTTCCGCGGCTGGAAAATTGGTCGGTTTGTCTCGTTGAACCCCTCGAGAGACCGTGGATTTAAATAACCAAACAATACATCATATAAATTATAATTTCCTTCGTATAATCTATCAGTACTTGCTCATCTTTATTCTTATTTAAATCAAACATTCAATTTCGCCAGTTGTCCCAAGCTTTTCACTGTTGTTGTGGATTACTTACAGCTGGAACTCGTGAGGTTCGGTTTCGATCAAATCATCATCAATCCCCCCCCCCCCCCCATCGCATAAAATATTACCTATAAACCAATAAATTGATAGTTTCTTTTGGTCTAGCAATAATTTTTTTCTTCTAATCTTTATCTACACTTTTTATTTAAGTCCTGAGCTGGTAATTTTCTATTTTATACTACCTCCTCTTCTTAATATAAGATCCTATTTGATTTTTATTTTGATCCTAAATATAAGACCCCAATCCATTTTATCTCTCATATTTTTACATTTTTTTTCAAAGTAGTCCTTATAACAATGATAATTTTAGTCAATACACTTGATTAGTAAGGATATTTTAGGAAAGACAACACTTATTTAGAACAAATAACTAACTCAACTTACTTTCTTAATCTTCTCAAATTAGTCAACTAGTTTTTATAATTAGGACCGGAAGTAGTATAATTTCTTCAATCACTTCCTCACACCCTTCAATTGGAAACAAGACATTATTTTTTACATGTTGCGGATATAAAATATATCCAGTTATCGTAATTTTATCTTCTCTGTGTGATTTCCTCAGGCGATGTCTAGATTGTGAATAATTTCTTTGATACTTGATACAAACTAGAAACATTTCTTTATACATTGCACAAAATTTGAGGTCTGAGAAACCGCTCGTAAGTCGCATAACGAGAGTTGTAAATTTTACCGCGTATTAGTAATGATTATATGGCCTTTTTTTTTTTTTTAGTTACTTGTGGATTAAGTCCTTCTCATTAAAGATTGGCGCCTCACAGTTGATTTGAGAATCATCGTCTGAGCAAATTTTACTGTTGGGGGAGAGATGAGTTCAATAAAGGTGTTTTATTGAGAGGAGAAAAATAACCCAAACAAAAAGAGAAGCTGGCAAATAGAAGGACACGCTTTTGTAAACTGGTTTTCAGAATTATTCAATGATAGCTTTGGTAGGATATAGCTGGCAGAATCGCAAACTTTGCAAACAATGCAAAAGTAATGCCAAAGATTCTAATAAATATACTTCTCTTTATAGGTAAGAGTGGCAGTTATGCAGTGGAAATTGACCAGAAATGAATCAGCAATTACGTTCCACTTGGTTCGTGTTTGGGAATAAGTGGTGCTTGTTCGGACATTGATTACAAACATGACCGATTTCGGCTTGATTATGGACCTTAAGTTCATCGTGTACCAAAGGTGGGCTAACCGACATTGGACAGACACAGAGAAAAGGATTTATCATCTTTTTTCTCATTAATTTCGTTAAAAAAATTGCATTATATTACTGCTGTTGGGTATCACAAATACTCTGTGCGAGTGTGCGGATGCATTTGGCCATGTTTGGTTCATATATAATGCAGAAAAATGTGTTTAGTTTATGTCTACCTAGGGGTGTTCAAGGCCGGCCCGTCCCGGTCGGCCCGTTCCGGTCCCGGTCTTATTAGGACGGGACGGATCCGTCCCGAAATTTTTCGGGACGGGACAAACCGGGACGGGACAAAAAAGGGAGCGGGACGGGACGGGACACGGGACGGGGTCGTCCCGTCCCCGTCCCGTCCCGGTTCCTTTTTAAAAAAAAAAAAATTAATTTTTTTAATTTTTTATATAATATCATTTTTTTCATATTTTTTTAAGATTTGAGACTATTGTATGAAACTATGGATATATTTATTTAGAGTTTTTATATTTGTTAATGATTTGAGATTATTGATGATTAGAATTTTTAGCAAGTTTTTATTGTGTTAAAAGCTTTTGTTTAGAGTTTTTAATAACTATTATATGTAATATTTTGAGCTTTTGTTTAAGAGTGCCCAAACAAATAAAAAAGATGTTTTTATAAGATTTAAGCTCAAAAAAATATAATTAAAAAAATTAGATTTTTTTTTTAAAAAATAAAAAAATAAAAAAAATTATTTCGGGACGTCCCGGTCCCGTCCCGGATCCGTCCCGTCCCGACCGGGACCGGGACAACCCCGGGACGGGCCGGGACACGGGACAGAAAATCTGTCCCGTTACTGTTCATCAGGACGGAACCGGGACGGGCCTGTCCCGGTCCCGATCCGTCCCGTGAACACCCCTATGTCTACCTTAAATAGGTGAAAATTTTAGGTGTGCATAGGATAATGTAGAATCTGGGACTTAATTGTTCGAATCTTGATGGACCCTACGGTTCAACCTAATATAGACAAACTTCGAGAAAGAATTTTGAAAAAAACAGGGTTCTAGAAGTGGAAGCCGTTGGCTGTCCTTAACTTGCTAATGAAGATTCATCTAATTTAATTAGGGGGTGTTTGGATAGAAACCAAACTATAGTATTGGAAGTGCTTTTACGGATTACGAAAAAAATATGTGAAGGAGGTTATCTCGTTTTGCGAAAAAGTACTTCTGATATAAGAGTTAGTTGATTAATTTGAGTATATTAAGGAAATAAGTTAAGTTAATTATTTGTAATAAATATGTGTTGTTTTTCCTAAAATATTCTTAGTAATCAAGATTCAAGTATATTGACTAAAACTATCATTATTAGAAGAATTGCTTTGGAAAAAAAATACATAAACATGAGAGATAAATTGGATTGGAGTCTTATATTTAGAATCAAAATAAAAATCAAACAAAATCTTATATTAAGAATCGAAAGTGGTGCTTCATTAAATGAAGGTGATGGGAAGCCAGCCTGCATATGTATGGTTTTAACTGGATAACGCCGGATTTAATATCCTCAGGAATTATTGCTGTTTCAAAAGGTGGTGCATGCTTTATTCGCACTATTTACTTGCCCTAATCTTTGTTTTTGTTTCACTTTCAAACATCTGTTATTATATATATATATATATATATATATTTGCCAGCATATTATTTTACATTTCAGAGGATAATTATTGCTTGTTTCTAGTAATATTCTTGCTAAAACGAGAGTATCAAACGGGGGCAGTTAAAATTTTAAATGGGGTAATATTAAATATTGGAGGGGAAAACTTAAAAAAAAAAAAATCTTACATGATACCACCTCTAATCCTTAATATAAAAGCTGGATAATTAATTTTAAGATATTAAAAAAATTAGTTAAATTATTTATTTGCAACAAATATATGTTGACTTCTCTAAATTACCTCTTTTCAATTACCTATAATGAAACTATATTCGGGTGAAAATACTTTATAATCAATATATAAATTTGGAAAACAAAGTTGATAAAGATCTCATACTTAGGATCACACAGAGTTGAACATAGTAACATAAGAAATAGATATGGATAGTGATTCCAAGTAAATAATAACCAAGCAATCATTTTGTTTAAGAGTAAGACACGCAATTGAAATCCATCGACTAGATAATTAACATCACTGCAACTAAAACTGTCACTCTAGAATGTTTTAGTTTATGCTCCTGTCTATTATCTAGATATACCGAAAAAGATGTACGGTCTACCAAATCTTTTGTATGGGCTCGCCGTGCACTTGGATGGCGTTCACTTGACGTTTTGAAATTGCAACCAAGTCTTATGTTTTAGGACGGGGAGGAAGTATATGGTTTTTTTTTTTTTTATAGTCCAGGTGTTTTTTTTTCCCCAATGCAAACCAGTAAATGGGGAGGATGGAAGTAGCATGCAAAAATAAGGTACCTCGTGTATTGTACAGAGTAGTGCGAACCGCCTGAATTAATGATCGGTGAACATAATGTTCTATAATTAATGTGTGAACAGCGGCATGCCGGAACTGATGCAGAAGGGATAATAACTAAAACGCGGCGTTGCGGTCCTTTTCAGAAGCGTGGGACGTGAGAATCAAAGATGCTGTGACCCCGTCAAGAGCCAATGAACAGAAGAACTTTTCTTTTGGGTGGAGGGTTGATTATGAGAAGAACACTAGCGAAAAATTAAAAAAAAAAAAGAAGTGTAGAAAGGCATTTTTATTTTTAAAATATTTTTCTAAGTGTATTAGATATTATAAATTATAAGTTTTTTTGGTCAACTATGAATTGTAAGCTGATGCAATGTTAGTCATTTAAGTCCAAAAATAGTAACAATGCTGCTCTCCATTATACAGACATTAATTAATTTAAACATTAGTGGGCAGAAAAAATGAGCACTAAATGAAAGAAACATGCATTTGGAGGAATACAGTGCGAATGTGTGGATGGGAGGTGGAGGGAAGCCTTGCTTGTGGGTGGTTGAGGACAAACACATACCCTTCAAAAAGAGTCCCACTTTATAGCGTCACTTTTGGATTTTGCATAGACTGCCAACTTGCCATGCATATTTTCAATGTGCTCTATGCCATAAAGTAACAAAGCAGGATGTGACGTGCTGGTAATAATAATATTAGTATATTAAAAAAGTTAGGTCAAATTCATTTTTATCAAAACCCAACAATATCACTGTACGTGTCCAATACAGTACTCACCTAAAGCACCGTGACTCACCTTTTCCCCCCTCGAGGCTCAAATATCATATGTAAAGAGCACATAAATAGTACCGGCTTCTATTTTGACTATAGTATTCACTTCGTAGTACTATATTACAACGTGGTTTAGAATAACTAATTTACAAATATTTTAAAAAAATTAAGTTGGTTTGTCATTTCTACTGAATGTGTGTTGATTTCATAACTTCTCTAAATTTGTATTAAAAACTACTTTTATGGATGAAAATCTTCTTTAATATATATAATTAATAAAATCATCTAAAAAAATATAAATTTTTAAAATAAATATATTGACATTTTATATTTAAAATCAAAATAAACTCTAAGGCAATGCATGGCTTTTTACGAGATGCGAGGTATGTACATACGTTCTTCTTTCTTTTGGCTTCTTCCTTCTATAAGAAATTTCACTTTTCTTCCGCCTGCCAAAAAATTTGTTGTTCCTTTTTTTTAAGGGTTAATATCATATTTGATTTCTTAAATTTGTCCTCATTTTGGTTTTTAGTTTCTCAAGTTTCAAATCATAAATTTTGGTCTCTCAAGAGCCAAAATAATTCAAGTTTTTATTATATTATAGGAATTAATATTTTAAATAAAAAGGAGCTTAAGAGACCAAAATTTATGATTTGAAACTTGAGGAATCAAAACCAAAATGAAAATAAATTTGAACAATAAAAACCAAAATAAAAATAAACTTAAATGATCAAAGTTTGTATTAGTCTTTTTTCTAATAAAAAATTCCAGAATAGAATCTGGTAATGGATTGGGGGGGGGGGGTTTTTTGACCGGAGGGGGGGGGTTTAACACCATCCCTCCTTTTTTATGTATTATGCGTTACCTATTGCTTTGATCCGCCCTTCCCCTTTCGATTTTTTTCCCTTTCCGTTTTTTGGTTAGAGACGGTCGTAGCCCGAAAAGAAAAAAGGGGATTACATTAATGGGCATGGCTTTGGAGCCCACTAGAAGGCCCATGGAACTAGCCACACTCATTGCAGCCCAGCCCAGTAAATCCCCAAGCTTTACGCCCTAATCAGCCATAAAACTGAAGTCCCTGTTCGAAAAGATATTTTCATTAAGAGAAATTTTACTTTTCCTAAGCGAGCCCTTTCGTACGAAACAGTGCATCGGCGGGAACAGTTTGGAGCACTCAGCGACCCCGGTGCTCCTGAACGATCTGCATTTAAAAAAATTCATCAAGCTGGCCCGGTCGATGCTATGGCGGGGTGTAATTTCCCATCTTGCCGGAGCTGTACTGTCGTCTCCGCAAAAAAGTTCTCGCTTCTCTTCGTCTTCGACTCTCAGTCGCTTACGAAACTCATTCGACGACAACGCTCGGGCTGGTAGCGCGGTTTATCAGCATGCTCTTAAATTCCGGCGACCCGCCATTATCGAGTGGCGCAAACAACTCGATAATACTGTCAATTTAATTGGCTCCGTCACTCGCGATCCTCGGGTTATTTATGGAAAGAACCGTGGCTTTGGGGTGCACACTTCGCTTAGAGTCAAAAGCTCTTGCGGCTCATCCTTCCAGTGAGATTTTCCACCCACTAAATCCATAATTTAGATCAAATTTGATGAGTTTGTTAAGCCTGGAACTGTTTTTCTGGTTTAGATTTATAGCATCCTTTTCGTCTGGTTCCCTGAATTGTTCTATGTTGGATCGGATTCAAAATGGGTTGGGGTTTAACCATGTTTTGTAATATGTGCTTCATTTTCGCCTGTCGTTTCTACTTCCTAGCGTTAAGCTGTCCCATTAACTGTGCCGTCGTTAAATTTTACAACTGCATCTTAAAATAATTGTTATGAGCAGAACTGCAGAAGTCATGATTTGATGAATATTTTTTAATATAACATCTGTTTTCCACTTTATGACCAGGGTACTTCTGATGATGTGGGCCGGTATGGCGGAAATTGCATCTAAACATTTAAAACAAAACGATTTAATTTTTGCTTCCGGTCATTTAGAGTCTTATGAAAAAGACGATGGGAGAGGAAACATCCGATTGTTTTATAAGGTCCATATTTCTTTTTTGGTATACCGTACCTGCCCAGTTGATCTATAGTATTTTGTCTGACTATTCTCGGCTTGGTCCGTTTCATCTTTTGGACATTAGCATTTGCTATTTGTGCTGGTTTATCTTAGGATGTAAAATTATGCATACATGTCCCTTTTTTTTTTTTTTCCCTCTGAAGGTAATTGTGAAGGAGTTAAATTTTGTTGCTAAAAGGCCATGTTACCAAGGGCATGAGGTGTTAGAATCTACTAAAGGTATGTTGCTCTCTCTCTCTCTCTCTCACACACACACACACACTCTCAGAGGACAGTTAAATTTCAGCTATCCTTTTTGTTATGAACCTTGAGGCTATACTTTCGACAAACCCAGGGATGAGCAGGTGGAGGTAACCATTGACCTGGCGAAACTAAAATACTTTGAATTGGAAAGGGCTCCCGGGAATACATTTCTTATGTAATTTTTATGCATACACCATTTGCGATAAACATATCTTCCTCCCCCCTTCGCCTCACATGAACATACCCTTGAAGAGAGTCCGTTGAAGTTTAAACCCCAGAACTCGCTTATCTTCCATTCTTGATGAAGTCGGTTTTAAATTGAAATCTTAATGAACCATTGGCTTCAAACAACTATGACTTAGGCCTTTGCCATCGCTTGTGCTTGTCGTGTTGACGCGTTCTTCTCTAACTTGACAGGGAAAAAAAGTCACGCCCAAGATTATGAAAACCGGCTTCACTTGTGGCAAGTGTTTTTTACCAATCCTCATGAGTGGTGGGATAACAGGAAGCACAAGTCAAATCCAAATTCACCTGACTTCAAGCACAAGAATACTGGTGAAGCTCTTTGGCTGAGTAAAGATGATCCTCCATGGGTTAAAAGACAACTTCAAAAACTCGACTCGGAAATGGCCAAACTTGTAGGTCCTTGTTCTAGAGTAACCAATTGGGTTTACCAGGATTAGCAAAGCGAAAAAGCAATGAAATAACACGATTACGGTCTTGGTGCCTTGTGCACGCAGCTTTGTGCTCATGGTCCCCATTTGGAAAGACATTAAATCATTATTTTCCCCCAGAATTATTTTATCATTCTATAGCAGGAAATGGTGAAGCTTGTATGACAGGTCAGCAGGATACTGTATAGTACATATAAGCATATGCAAGTCATAGGAGTTGGTGCAAGATATCGTTGTAGAATGCTCAATAGTCAATACCAATTGAAGTCAGATGTTTTTTTTTTCCTCTTTTGGTTTTTTTTCCCAATTAGGTGGATTTGAACTTCCAATTTCTATTCCCATTTCATCTCACTTATCACTTGTAGTTTAATGTTTTACCTTGATTGACTTCTAAATTGCAGCTTCATCATATGCACAAAGTACTCATCATTGACTTATTTTAAAGTATCATCAGAGTGCTGTGGAACAAAATATACAATCCTCAACTCCAAAACCGAGGGTATTGCATGATTGAACTATGCACGTACATTGCTATCGAATTTGAATCCACTTACGCAATTGAAACGAAGATTGAGTGTCAAAATGGCAGCATTTTACGAGGTTGATCTGCATGAAGGCTCGAGCAAAAGCGCAAAAAGTGGCATCTTAAAGAAATCTGGTGGGCATATATTCATTTATCCTTAGAGGAAGACTGTAAAACTCGTCATTCCTAACATCTCCCTTCCTGTTTTGGAAGGGCACCCACCATGGCACTCCCCTATCATTAGCTGTATGTTTCGCCTCCAGTGTGTTGTCAATAAGTGTTCCAACAATTATTGCCACAGCAGGGGATGATGAGAATATGGCGTTCAAAATGTCATTGAACTGGGGTCACACAAAATCAACTACTTCAGATATAACAATGAAGTCCTAAATAATCACTTGGAACAAAGAAGAGTTGGCTTACCCATCCACCTTCTGTCCTAACTGGACCGTGACCATCTGGTGCCGTGTTGGTGACAAAATATTGGGGTATGGAAACCCCCAGAAACAAGGTCAGCCCCAGAACATAGAGATTCCTCATTGAGTTGGTATTAACAAATTGTGTGAATGAGATCCCAACAGCAGCTGCCAAAAGAAGCGAGACAGGGAAAGTTTAATGTCATGCAGATAACTTGCAGTCTGTATTGTGAAAACGTGGATAAATAATAGCAACATCCCCTACCGACAATGCCAAATAAAACACAGTATACAGCAGCAAATATTGGCAAAGGAATTGATGCAAAAAAGGCTCCAAATTTTCCTGAACATGGGGGGATACGGTAGGTCAATTACACAGAAAAAATATGAGTATGACCCAAAAGAAACTAATGCAAGGTACGTTAGCATACCAAAAATAGAGAAGAATATCATGAAACCGCATGAAATCTGCACCACTCTTCTACTCCCTATATGAGTTAGTCCAAGCAGGCCAACATTCTCTCTGCAATATCAGTTAGATCAATCAGTATAGTATAAATAAAAATAGTAAAAGGTTTGATATAATTCTCGGAACATTTGTTTCTTACACAGACGCAGTAGAACCAACAACAGCACCAAAAATTCCCTCGAGCAGCATGCCAATACCCTGTAAATAGGTGGTTGAAAACCGGCAGGTTGAATTATGAATTCGCTACAAGCATATGAGAATAATCATTCACCTGCAGCCCAATACTTCGGCTGAGCACATGTGCAGGAGGGGGTGTCGCACCAGAAATCCTGGCTGCTGCGAAGAAACTGCCTGTAGACTGCATCAAAGTATTCAGAATTTCATCAACAAAGGAAACTCCTGACCAGATTCATCGTTTTAATTTAAGGAATAGTTGTTATACCTCTGCGGAGGTGACAAGTGCAGCCCCCATCATCCCAAAGACATGGCTTGCTCTGAATATGGGAGTACCCCACTGAAATGGATAAGGAATTCTGATCCTAAAATAATAACAGCATATACATATCACCAGCTACCAAAAAAAAAAGAAAAAGAGGGGCATTTAAGATCAGATTAATTGATAAAGTTACTTTTGTGTGCGTGTGAACATACCAAGGAGCAGAAGAAAGGAGGTAGGAGCGATCTGTTCGACAACTTTCTTGGGTACGTACTCTAGCAGTGGAGTAAGCACCAGACACAGTGAGGACAGCAGCAAAAGCCCAGATAATGCCGATGCAGAGAAGTAAAGCAAACCTCTCGAGTACATGATTTGTGGTAACATGAATGCGCTTCAAATACTGAGGTATCGGAATAAAGATGTCGTCACATAAAAAGCAGAGGATTATAAAACTTTATTTATAGTATTTCAAATTCGGACGAGACTTGGAACCTGCTGAGTTATGACCAGTAGAATAAGCATTGGGAGTCCAATCTCTACGCAATTTGCGAGCTGTGTGCAGAACAAGTTATTTAATGAACTTCTTTGCCTTTTTATTTCACTGTTATAACCTGCGAGATGCATTCAATCTTAAAAGTGGATTAGGCTTATTTACCATTGGGAAGCCCCTCATGAACAGACCAAGACCCACCACGCAAACCATTGGTACAATGGTTAACGGACTGAAGTACCTGATCAAAAAAAGAAGGAAATTAAAACTAAATCTGTGACTATTGATGCGGCTTTAGATGTAGGCCATGGATTATGAGAATTACCTTGTTAAATTACCCCATGCTGTACTATATCCAAGGAAGATGTTGATGAAAGAAGAAACAATGAGGGACCCTTGGATTGTTCTAATTGTGTAGGTGAACCTCTACAAGCAACGATATCATAATGTTTTAGAATTTGCTATCCTCGAGTTTCAACTTAAAAGAAGAGACCTAATTGAAAAGTGGGGTGAGGGCGTGCTTAGTTTAGAGTTAAGAGCTGTTTGAAATACACAAACCTCATGCTCAGTTTCGAATATGCGATCAGTGTAATTATTTATGATAGACATAATGGGGAGTGTGAAAGCGAGAGATCCACGCATCACTGTAGGAAGCCTTGACCCGATCAAGGTCTGAAGCAGTGTGTTCAATCCAGACATAAACAACAAGGTTTGAATCACATGGGCTTTGTCACCCTGCTCGACAACACTCGACACTTGTAAGATTTATGAATCTGAGATGAGTCAGAGCTTAACATGAATTATATCAAAAAGACAACTTACATGATTCCCACCCATCTGAGGTACGAGGATGGTTGCAATCAGAACCGTTGTTCCAAGCATCACGATGTAGTGTTGGAAAGCCAGCAAAACCGCCTCCGCTGCCAATTATTCCGGGGTATTAGTCACGAAGGACAAGGGATAGTGATAAACTGTAAGACTTTGAAATTTGTTTAGATGATTTCTATATGCACAACGCGATCATATCAACAGTTCTATTTCTAATAACATGAAAAATATAACTTTCATTTTTTCATAGAATCATAAGGCAGCAAAAAGCCGTTTGCAACTATTTAAGAGAAAATGAAGAGGAAGAGGGATTAGGGAACTGAGTGCATCTCATTAATTGTGTGATATGTACAGTGTTTATACACAATATACTGGGCATATGACTCAACAACTTGCCTGACTAAATACAGAACAACGTAACTAACTCGTAGTTATAATCTAATATAACTCATCGAACAAGTTCTGTACATGAACAAGGACAAGATCCCTCCTAAGCCACCAGTGAAGATAGGGACATAATGATTATTCATTTACGGACACAAAAAATTTAGAAGATGCCTCTCTTGACACTACATCTCTGACTGTTTTGACGTAACCACGAATTTTTTCAGCTTTTATGAGTAATCAGAAGATATTTATTAAGGAAGTGAATAAGAAAAAAAAAGTAGAGAAGGGGAGAGTCCGAGATTGGAAGGGAGATACTGACGCCATGAAGGATTTGAGTGAATGCAGTAGTCAAGCTGATGGAGTTGCTCGGCCGGTGCCCAAGTGGGTCCCCTTGAAAGTGCAAGATTAGGCGGTGGTGGTCCGGGCGGAGGTGCTTGTACTGGTGGCGGTGGCTGGTGGTTCTCCGTCTCCCCCATTTTCTGGCTTATTCCTACGCTAGTGGCTTGTTCTTCACTACTGATCTTGTTTTCACAGCTCGTTGCCTATGGTGGGACTAGAGGTTCCTTCGATTCCTGCTTATTTCCGAGGTGCCAGAGAGAGTAATGAAAAGCAGACTAGGCGGAAACTATTTGAAACGAGAAGCAAGCTTGAACGGCTCTTGTATAAGCGATGGAAATAAATAAATGAATGAATCAAAAGCAAGTGTGGTTACATCTAATATATTAATACGTGCATGTCATTGAAGTCGGATGAGAGAGTTACTCCTTTGCGTATAATACAAAAAAATGAGCTAGAGAAATTAAAGAAGGAAGAAATGAGAGGCGAGATTATGATACATGGTTATGGGCGCATAGTTGTGAGGAGGATGGGCTACGATGTTCGAGGTGGTCAAAGTTACTCACAAAGGCCGTACTTGATTTTAATAACAATAATGCCATTTTGCTTATCCGCTTCTTCACCCCCTCCTCACCCATAACATTAATTCAGAGATTTCCATTCCGTCCAAAGAATTCAAATCAGCGACTTGTCTTTCTTGGTTTGTCCATTTTCCTTTTTTGTTATGTCCATGCCTTCTCTAATCTCTTTCGGCTTGGGCCCATTTTCCTCTGACATGCATTTCAGAACAGGAGAAATTCTTCGGTATAGCTTGAACTTACTAACTACAGTTAGCTTTCAGAAGGAAGAGCATTGATGGATGGAGTGGGATCGAGTAATAAATTGGCCAGCGAAAGAAGGAGCCACAGTTTAAAATCTCGCGCCACCATGTGAAGATCACGTGATCATCGGATCCCGCAGAATATAGCCGATTATGTTATACTACCTCCGGTCTTTAATATAAGATCCTATTTGACTTTTTATTTGGTCCTAATTATAAGATTTCAATCCATTTTGTCTCTCATATTTATGTATTTTTTTCTAAGATAGTCCTTCTAATAATGATAGTTCTAGCCAATACACTTAATTAGCAAGGATATTTTAGGAATGACAACACTTATTTATTACAAATAACTAACTTAACTTACTTCCTTAATCTCCTCAAATAAGTCAACTGGGTCTTATAATTAGGACCGGAGGTAGTACTATTTATGTAGTTCTTGTCTCCTTGATTTGTTGGTGATAGTATTTGGTAATTACACGGGTCTAGTGCCAAGAGGATGCCGTTGCCGTCGGCAGCGCTGTGACGCGCACCGACCAGAACAGGTGAAGGTCAACCTTTGTGCTATTATTTATTAATTTTCCCGATTGAGGTTCAAGCCACCCACAACATCTTTACAGCTTCACTGTCTGGTTTATCTATTAAGCATGCGACTACTTGCAAAATCACCTGAGAAATCATGTTAAACCACGAACCATGTCCCTCTGAGTAAATCCCTATGCGACTGTCCCTGTTCAAGGAATTTATATACACGACTAAAAAAGTTTTTTTCTTTTTTCCCATGAATATATATTGCTATAAATGATTAAATGAGAACCAAAAAAACATCAAAGGAAGAATTTCATTATAGGACCACAAATGATTTCCGATCAAGCCCAAACAGGTCTGACATGATACAGTGGGATTTTTGCCGAATAAAAGAAGAAATTGCCGAAAGAAAGAGTAAGCAAATTCACATCATGTCCATCTCACAATGCAAGCCGTCATTTCTCCATCTTTGTGCTCAGGTTGAGCTGCTGAATCACGGGATCTTTCTGCTTTTATAGACAGTGCGATCCCTTAAAGCAATCTCATTTTGAGCAAGTCGTGCGGTTTTACGTATAGTTTGTCACATGTCCATAGTGTACGGATTATTTCACATGAAGGATGGCAGGCTCGATCCATCCAAATCCACTCACCCGCCTTCAATTCTAAATATGCAGTTTTTGAACTTCTATTTCTTCATACTATAAACTTTATCAGTTACATGGTTTAGCTTTTCCCTGTCACTCCATTTCCTACACTCAATCCGTTATGTGATTTATATAATTGATTATTTGCATCGTTTTCACTTGGCGTCCCATCTTGCATTGCTACAGTCAGTTTGTTTCATATGTTCAAATAACTGAAATTGTGCATAAAACAGTAATGATTTATCGCAAACTTTGTCTACTTTCCTTATTACATTCTTCTCATACACATCCATTTCAGTATATTCCTGTTCACTGTAAGTACGATGAGAGCTGGTCACTCAGATTACCAGTAGCAACAACATATAGTAATGTTACGTAGGATAACATGTCTGACTGATTCAGCCAGCAAGAGGATGAAGCACCTTTCCAACAAACAGCAGTGTTCCAGTCATATCCTCTCTGACGATAAAGAGGAAAGGGTGGTCTGCTACAAAGTCTATTTTAGATAGCAAAGCCCTCATTTTTATAACACCAGCACTAGCAGCAGCAGCTTCAGTTCCTTCTTCATTGACTTCAATGAATGCCTTATGGAATATGTTGGAAACATGTAGATTTTGACCAGCCAAAGAATCCACCATTTCCGTCAATTCTCCCCCAGAGAATGGCAATGTCACCCCGAATTCCTTAAGCACATTGGATATTTCAACCCCATAAGAAATCTTAAATTTTGGAATCCTAAAGTCACCTACCTCCACTCGGGTTTGAGGAATATGGCGATCCAAGAACCCCGATTGTGAACCCACCATCTCAACCAAAGCTGGCAGCCCATCATTTGCATCTGGAAGAAGGAAATACATGGTAAAACGGCGTTTATCTTCACCTTGCTTATAAGGAAGACCAAGGACTTTGAATCCGTCACATGCTCTAATAAACTGTTTTTTCTTGCTGGTCATGAAGGGAGCCTTCACTGAGCTTCCACTTCCGAGGTGAAAGTCATATTCTTTGGTTGCTGATGCATCAAACTTCTCATGCCATGCTCCTTTAAAGTATAATGCATTGGCAAAAACGAGTCTGGCTGAGTTGTCAAGAGATCCCATAGGAAGAACCTCTTTAATAAGGCCACTCGTCTCTTTTTCCACCCAAGAATTAATTTCTTGGGTCACTTGAACAGCCTGTATAAATCACAACCATCATCTTATTAGTTAATTATTTTTCAAGTTCTTAAAAACACAATCTGCTGTTCTTGGTTCTCTTACTTTCCTTGCTTATATTAGACAATTACTAATACCTTACATCAGGAGCAGAGAAACAAATGAAATAGGTTCTTTTGCCATGCTGCAGAAGCATTAATTGCATGCTAAAGGATCAAGTGAGTTGCCCTTTTTCACAATTTGCAAGAAAATTTGAGACTAGTTTATAAGTCCCACAAGATTTCTATGACAAGGAACAAAGCGCGATCATACGACATCTCATTTACAACCAATTTGGGTTGCTCACAACTTTAAGAAGAATATAGATAGGCTGAATACACGGCAAATCAATTAAAAAAATTACACTACCGCCAAATTGCATGTCAACTCAAAAATAGAAGCTAAATTAAGAAGCTGCTAAAGTAATAATCAAAATCACATTCACAAGTCTGTTTACTGATTAATAATATGCAAGAAAGACAGGATTGCACCTTGGTTTGGAAGTCCACTTGAGATAAAGCAGCTTTATAATTAGAGTCGACAATCTGTTTGAAAGGAGGCTTGAGAGAAAGAGATTGATCAAGCCAGAGAGCATTCGCGAAACACAGGCGGGGGCCACCACTAATACTACCATCAGCGAAGACAACAGTGATGAGCTGAGACGCAAAGGAGTTCAGATGATCGGTGGAGTTAGACTTGAGGAATGAGAGAAGTTGATCACGTGTGGAGCCCTTGGAGCCAGCAGCGATGAGGCTAAGCACCACGTGGATGGACAAGGGTGAAAGCACCAAGTTATCATTCTCACCTCCCTTCAACAGTAGATGCTTTGCCAAGCTCAACGAGACATCTGTTTGATTACTGATTGCTTCTCGCAAGTCCATTTTCCTCAAGTTGATTGCTATCCACAAAATGTTCCTGAAATTGCCAATGTGCTCCTCTGTAATTTCAAACTTCCAAGCTTCTTTCAGAAGAAAACTTTGCAATTTTTTTAGCTAGAAGTTTCTTCACTTAAAATACAATAAAGACAAAAATATAAGCATAGGAAACATGACGACTTTTGAGGACATGTGTTCCTACATGGCAGTTTATGTCTTGGGGAGAGAATTTTGAACTTTTCTTGTTTGTTTTCCTTTCGGCATTCTTTGTAGATTTTGTCTATAGGCTATACCTTCTAGTTTCAGGATTAGAATGCTCAGAGTGGGTTTTGAAGAAGTTAAGAGAAAGCATAATATCCATTTTATCTGTTAGGCGTATCTCATTTCTATGCGATACTGAAAACTCATTTTCAAATTTAACGAATGAAATACAATGTATTAAAAACCAAATCAGTAATTGAACCGGCCAAGACATGATTCAAAGTTCGATAGTCAAATTGTGATTGAATTCATATATTGAAATAAAAAAGACACTCATCAATGATCAGTTAACGTTCATCCAAAAGCATCAATATTCACTCATACTCATGGTAATAACTTACACAGTAAATGAAAGCATTGCATCAGCTGTAAAACATAATGAACACCATCATCATATAGTACTACCATGTCCATGTCCACCCATATAAGCTTTGGAACCACAACGAAGCAAAGAAGAAAACATAACCAATAAAACCATTTCATTTAGATCATTACCAGTCTTCATGAATAATTAGTTTTCACTAAAAAAATCACTTAAAATTTTTAAGATATATAAATAAACAGCTACTAATAATTATCATCACAAACTGCGACCAGCAACTGCTTAAACAAGTTATGATCCAAGTTAAGGTAAATTCATGAAAAAGACAAGATACAAAATGTAAGTTTTCTTTGATCCAAGGGAAAAGACATGGTGAGTGGGATCAACCAAATCAAGTTATGATTATTTAGCTGAATCGAAAGGAAGATAACATTCACAAACTGAAAAGCTTGCAGTCTAATCGTACCGAGTAGCAGTGGGTGCCTCCCTAAAATACTCAGCGATGGCCACAGAAGACGCCGGCGATAGGGAGATCTAACGATGGCGACGACTGGAGAGCTTAACAACGAAGGTATGGAGCAACTGATTTCCGTTCGGGAAGAGCAGGGGAGGCCGAAGACGGATCCGCCTTTGGGTAGGCTGGGCAGGCTGCCCCGTTGCCCATCTGAACATATTTTTAATCCAACGGTGTTTATTAATTTACGTTTTTACTAGGCTGTGGGGCCACATCCAGGGGATTCTTTTTGATGGGGCTGGAGCCTGGAGGCCTTGCCACGATTTTGGGAATTTTATGGATATTTATGCCCCCTTAAAAAGTTTAGGCAAAGATGCCACGAGATAAAAGTTTGAGAATATGTTTTTCTTGGATGAGAAGAAAAGTTAGGAGGAAAAAAAACAAAAAGAGAAGAGAAAACTGGGGGAATGTTATCATTTCTCTTGCTTGGTAAATCAAAGAAAATAAAGAGAATAGAAAATTAACAAGTATTTAAATAACTATAATGTTCTTATCAAAATATATCATATTTAAAATTAAATGAAATAAAATATTGCAATAGAAAAGTTATACTAACATTAATATCATCAAATAATTTAAAATCAAGATATTGGGTTTATCCATATTTTCATATTATTATATTTTAAAACCAAATTATTTAATAAAAATATTGTATTAAGATAAAAAATAAAAGTGAATAAATTTTTAAATTTAATAAAAGAAAATAAATATGGAGAGGAAGAGAAAAGAGGGACAGCCATAAAAATCTTGTATTACTTCCTAAATCTCTTCATATATGAAAAGAAAATTTCAAAAGAAAATGAGGCATGGAGCTCATTTTATTTTCTCTCCCACTTTTCTTCTCTCCTACATTTTCTCTTCTATCCAAGCAGGAGAAAACTTATTTCTCCTCATGTTTTTCTCTTTAGTTTTCTTTCCTATCTAATTTTCTCTCAGTCAAAACAAAGGGTAAGACTTATGTATTTGATATTTTTTTACAAAAACTAGAAAATTACAATTTAAATTCCTTAATTAGGATTATATGATTATTGCTCGAGGAGAGTACACTAACTTGCTCCCGTGTATCGTATGGATAAATTTAACAATATACGTTGCACCACACCCTATTCTAATTTTTCAAATAAACATAAATTATTTTTTAAGTCATGGAGGACTTATAATGATTATTTATATATTGTTAGATTTTACTCCCTTTATGAAAGCTCACAATTCATAGTCTCTTACGCTACAATTTTTTTAAACTATTGTAATCAAGTCTTGGATTTTTTTTTTTTTAATGAACTTCCTTTACGGTCTTTGTTTCCACTTTCGAGCCATTTCATATCATTTTCTTTAACTCCTGAAAGTCACCAATTTTTCGATTCAACTAATCAGTTTATTAACCCACTTTTTTATATCTTGATGGAATGATAATTTACTTTTGTCGCACTTGAGATCATCTCTTTATCACAGCCACATATAGTTATCACAAGTAATGTTAAACTATCATGGCTGCTAATTCATTAATTAAGGTATGACTATAGGTCCCCGATATTGCTCTCCTTAGCCACAAATAAGCCATCGGTTTCAATTAATGAATATAATATACTACTAATTAGATGTGAGTCTAGAATGTGATCGTAAATGAAGCTTGAAAAATGAGGTGAATTGTTAATTTATTAAATGTAAGGATTAATATGAATTTTATAGCATCAATTAGTAGACAACTAAACCCTTTTCTCCTATATTCCTGTGTAAGTCAAAACTCTCCTTTCTAGCTGGCCAATATAAGGAATCCAAGTGAAGTTGGCCAAGATAAGGAATCCCAGTGAAGGCCGGCTAAGGACAGTGACAATGGCAAAAGAGCAATATTTTTTTCCAGCAGAGCACCAAGACAGATAGATCCCTTTTAACAAACTTCCCTATATTTTATTGCTGCATATTTTGTCCACTTTGGAACTCGCCAACTAACTTTGCCCGCTTCATATCTCATGGCTCCAATAATTATACTTTGATGCTTGCTTCCTCAACGCTTTGATCTTTTTAATATCTGTTGGCCTCCACATGCGCTATTATATTAGAGCCTATTACAAGCCTTAATTTCTTTGGCTGCGTTCTTGCTTGTATTTCGAAATGAACTCTTCTTTAAACTAGTCCTTGATTAACCATCTCAGCAAGCAACAAACCTGGTTATTTAACTTTCAACTTGAAGTGAGTATATGTTTTTCAAAAAGCTAGTTGTCCAACCCATCTCTGTCTAAATAAGTTCATTATTTCTTGTCATTGAAGTAAACTTTGATTTTTACGAGCAAATCTCGGCATGCATGTTTCCTTCCTTCTTTGCGGTTCCAATTAAGCATGCTTTATACCGGCGCGGGGTGTCTTTACTAAGTTAATGATCCATTTCCCTCTACTTCGTTCAAACGATGTCGTTGAGAGACAGGAGGCACGGAGTGAAGCTTAGCGGAGGAGCCTAGGACGATGCTAAATTAATTCAACTAAGGTATATTTTATTTTAACAAATAAAAATAAAAAAATTATTAATTAAATTAAAATTAATTATGATAGGCCTAAAATCCATTTCACATCCATTATTTTTAAGTAAATTAGTTAAGATATATTTGTTTACCTGCATTATTAGAGGCCTAAAATTCATTTTGCATCATCCACCATTGTAACGTTGTTCCCATTTCACAATTTCAGCACAAAGAGACAAAATTTTTTTTTTTGGATCCTGAATAAAGTAAAATTAAAAGAACACTTAGGATGTGAGGAGCTTCACAGTCCTCAATGTATTGCTCCTCAAATTTAAGCTTCACTCCGCGCCTCCCATCTCTCAACGACATCGTTTGAACAAAGTAGAGGGAAATGGATCATTAGGTTAGTGGAGAGACCCCGCACCGGCTTTATACATACATACATATATAGTTTTGTTAGTATTATTATTGGGCAATTCTTTATGGTTATCTCAGCAATACTATCACGCGGAAACTAGTCTGAATTCTCCTTATACACCAATGTATATATAGTAACTCTGGTCCTTAATATAAAAACTAATTGACTAATTTGAGTAGATTAAGTAAGTTTATTAAGTTAGTTATTTGTAATAATTAGATATTTTCTTTCTTTAAATATTCTTGCCAATCATGTACTACTTGCGGTCTTTAATATAAAAGTTTGTTTGACTTTTATTTTGATCCTAAATATAAGATTTCGATCCATTTTGCCTTTCATATTTATTTGTTTTGTCCTAAGGTAGTCCTTGTAATAATAGTAGTTTTAGCCAATACACTTGATTATTGAGGATATTTTAGGAAAGACAACACCCATTTATTACAAATAACTAACTTAACTAATTTTCTTAATCTACTCAAATTAGTCAACTAGCTCTTATATTAAGGATTAAAGGTAATATTAGGTAAAACTACTATTTGATTGAACTTTTAACATGTGCAATTATTATAAAGAATATTATAGCATGCATTATACATACATACATATAGATAGTTTTGTTAGTATTATTATTGGGCAATTCTTTATGGTTATCTCGTCAGTACTATCATATGGACACTAGTATGAATTCTCTATATATTACTTCTTTTTTTTAATGTAAAGGTTATTTGACTAATTTGAATAGATTAAAAAAAAAATTTTAAATTAGTTAGTTGCAATAATTAGGTGTTGTTTTTTTCTAAAATATCCTTGCTAATTATGTATAAGCTAAAATTATCATTTAATTAAACCTTTAACATATATAACTACTACAAAAATTACTTTTAAAAAATACATAAATATAAAAGATAAAATATATTAAGATTTTATATCTAGGATTAAATTACAAGTCAAACTAACTCTTATTTATGGATTGAGATTTTATATTTATAATCAAATTAAAAGCCAAACTAACTCTTATTTTAAGGATTGGAAGTAATATAAAGCAAGTCACCTCTGGCAAAAAAACTCTTTGCAACTTTATTACTTGTAACTGGTAAATATGCAGATGGGCATTGTGCTAGCTCAAATTGATTTGTGTGTATAGCACTTGATTAATCCCTGTCCGTTGGTTGTTTCGTAAACTTTGATATCGTCATCATCATTGTCTTCGTCACGTTTCTGTTATCTTATAATAAACAAGAGCTTTGAAAACAATTGGTCTAGGTTACGTGCACTTTAAATAATACATGCAATTATTGAAATACGGAGGGGTTACGACTACAGTTGGGCTGGAAATGAAGGCTTCAATGATTAAATCTGCCATAAACTTGTTCCAACCCATGTTTAACCAGATCTGAGCTTCAAGAACATATGGCAGTGAAATTCAAGGAATCGTTAATCATATCTTTTCATAACCTCGAACAGGGCTTATCTAAGAGACATCAAAAACTAAATCCTTAAACAAGAGGGCAAATTTTTCATGGTTGGCTTTGCGCTACAGGATATAAAAGCTTCGGAAGTTATTGGAAGGTCAACGAGAGGAATAACGGAATATGCATGAACATGAATGATATATGGATACCGGACAGTTTCATTAAAGAATTCGGATTCGTACCATATAGTCTCCCCTTTTTTTTATTTTTATTGTTCTTTTCCTTTCATGAACCACTCTTAGCCTGGAAATAAATGATTAAGGCCATCAATAATGCCAAAAATGCCTACGTTATGTGCTAATTGGAGAGAGGAATGGAATTCTAGGAACAAAATGTGGACCGATAAGATTATCTTAAAGCCAAGATGCCATTTCATTTCTTAGTGGTTTTACGCATCATCATCATCATCATTATCAGGCAACTTGGGGCACATAAATAATATTTAGAGCCATGTTCTTGGTCTCTATATAAACTATACCAGTACCATTACCTGCTCCAGCGTAAACAAGCCTCTTTAGTCGCAGAAGACAAGGCACCAAGCATGGTCATTAATTCACCCCTAAGCTGTCTTGTCATTTATGTTCAATGGTCTTGTATCAGATTTCCTTAAGCTAACCAATTTGTTGTTTAATGACTTATCTCAGGGAATCTGCAGAGATATGGGAACTCAACCAAAGGTAGAAAGACGGCTAGGAGGAAACAGGGCTGCACTGTTTGTGTATGGTAAATAACAGATTGGAGAATCCTCAGTCTGTATATAGTTTTTATGATGTTAGGATGTGTTATAAGTTTGTTTAATTGTGAACGCAGCAATGGAGGGGCTAGAGAACATGGCTTTCATTGCCGTGGCAATGAGCTTGGTGACTTACTTCTTTGGGTACATGAACTTCAGTTTAACAAAGTCAGCCACCACTCTCACCAACTTAATGGGGACTGCGTTTCTGCTGGCACTCTTCGGGGGTTTCATCTCCGATACTTATCTCTCAAGGTTCAAGACTTGCGTCATCTTCGGCTCCGTGGAAATCTTGGTTAAGTTCCTTCTCTTGTTTCTTTTGCCTGAGCTTTTCACTCTCCCTTCAACATCACAGACAAATTGAAATCTTGCTATTACAAAGTAATTGTGATTTTAGCCTTCAATTATGGAGGAAATAATGGGAAATGAGTTAAGCATTACATATTCACATTGAGTAGGTATCAGCAAGCAATATTCTGTTGACAGCCGTGGCTCAAAATCAATTTCAGCAAGAATAGCGTGATTTGCACAGTAGTTTGGGGGCACAAATATGTCAATTATTTCACTAATGATAAATATTAATATAAAATAATTTTGTCATTATATTTTATGTTCCACACCTTAAACGCATTGACTATTCATTATTAAGCAACCTACGGTGCTACTAGAAGTCAACGGTTCACCTTGGCTAGTCATAATGTCATATTGGTCCCAGAAAAACACACCTAGGCTTGTCATAACTGGTTAAAATCCAGTGAATTTTAATTCTAATCTCTTTAAGATCCTTTTTCCCCGTAAAGTCAGTATTTACTGACACAAATATCAAATTTCCCTTCGAAGAGTTTACAAAACAGCAAAAGGTTAGCTTCTGATGCATATATAACTCAAAACGTCTGAAAATTACACCATATAGGCTTCTCAGTCAAAAGTAACAAGTTGAACATCCTCAATTTGTGTTTGGTTACAGGGGTATGGTATCCTAGCAGCTCAAGCACACTTCCACCAATTAAGACCAAACCCTTGCAAGGGCGCAGCAACAAGCCAGACAAGTCAATGCGAGGCTGCTAGTGGAGGCCAAGCCGCAATACTCTATACCGGACTTTACCTTATTGCGTTAGGAACCGGCGGTATTAAGGCGGCTTTGCCAGCCTTAGGGGCTGACCAGTTTGATGATAAAGATCCCAAAGAGGCAGCTCAATTGTCTAGCTTTTTCAACTGGTTCTTATTTAGCCTCACCATTGGAGCTATATTGGGCGTCACCTTCATCGTTTGGATTAGTACCAACCTAGGCTGGGAATGGAGTTTTACTGTATGCACCATTGCTGTCTTATTCGCAGTTATCTTTATAATCATGGGCAAATCATTATATAGGAACAATGTTCCCAAAGGAAGCCCCCTTGTGCGGATCATACAGGTACATGGCATTAATATATAGGAATAATGTGCCAAATGTAATACGGATCTGATTCATGTATGTTCGTTGAACTCGTAGGTCTTTCTGGCAGCCTTCAGAAACAGAAAACTGCAAATTCCAGAGAATGATGAGGAACTACATGAGATTCATGAAACAGAAGGCGGGTACAATCATGAAATCATCAAAAGGACAGATCAATTCAGGTAATATACATTAGAAGAAACAGACTTGAACCCTTTCATGTGCTTGACTAGTCTTAGGTTCAAACTTCCGTCTTGATATATATGCATATGTTTTCCCAAGTCGATGATCATACAAGACTACAAGAGTTTTCAAATTCTTAAGAAACAGGTATCGCTCAAGCCCTTTCTCATATTTTCGTTGGGAAACCAATTTCCTAGATTCTTGGACCGGGCAGCAATTATAAGGAGCACTACTGACGCAGCAACATCCATAAGCTCAGGACCATGGAGGCTTTGCACGGTGACCCAAGTAGAAGAAACAAAAATCTTGATCCGCATGCTTCCAATTATATGTAGCACCATATTCATGAACACTTGTTTGGCTCAGCTTCAGACCTTCTCTATACAGCAAAGCACCACCATGAACCAAAACATCAATGGATTTAAAGTGCCTGGTCCATCTATCCCGGTCATCCCTCTGCTTGTCATTTTCATCCTAATCCCTTTATATGACCGCATATTCGTTCCGTTTGCTCGAAGAATCACCGGAATTCCCACAGGAATCCGACCCCTTCAACGCATCGGAGTTGGGTTGGTTCTATCAGCCATTTCCATGGCAGTCGCCGGAGTTGTTGAAACCCACAGGAAGTCGGTGGCCATTCAACACAAGATGGTGGATAGTACAGAGCCTTTGCCTATGAGTCTGTTTTGGCTAGGTTACCAATATGCTATATTTGGAGCAGCAGATATGTTTACCTTGATTGGGCTTCTGGAGTTTTTCTACGCAGAAAGTTCATCAGGAATGAAATCACTAAGCACGGCCATATCTTGGAGTTCTATGGCATTCGGTTATTTTACAAGTACCGTGGTGGTTGAAGTGGTCAACAAAGTGAGTGGAGGATGGCTGGCAAGTAATAACTTGAACAGAGACAATCTTAACTACTTCTACTGGCTGTTGTCTGGTTTGAGCGTTCTCAATTTTGGGTTTTACTTGGTTTGTGCTTCTTGGTATAGATACAAAAAGGTGGAAGACAGGCAAAGCCATCCCAAAGATACCCTTGGGATGACTAAGGTTTAGTTTAGATCTCTAGTGCTTGCGTACTCGCTTTGGTTTCTCTATCACCTTGCAGAAACTAAATACTACCTCCAGTCCTAATTATAAGACTGCAAATAAATGCAAGTGTAATCCACAAGTATAGATTTTGATTAATGTAAAATGTGTTTATTCATAGGTAATTGTTCGTTAGCGCTGTGAAGGACAAATTAAGGAACTTACCGTTGACCATGGAAGGACTTTCACCCAATTGTAAATGAACGACAAATTCAGAAACCCATGGACTGGTGTTTATATGGGGTTTACATTCATCACTAAAACCCTCGCCAAAATTAGCGGACCGCACGTATAAACCTGACTTTAGTATACTTCACAACCATTAAGATTTAGGATTTATTTAAAAAGAAAAATTTATAAGTAACAACAGCACCTTATACCAAACCATAAGCAGTGCCAAAGAATTAGGATTAAATTCTCCGAACCAAGACTAGAAATCTACAAGGGCGAGTAAAAGACAAATCAAAATGTGCCTTCCATTTTTCCCTGGAGTATTTACAAGATCCAATATCAGCCTTCTTTTACAGTGTCAAAACCTATTATATATAACAAGGAACAAGAAAATCTAGAAACGTTGCCCATTTATACGAAACGAAAGCTATGTTACAGTTTACAAAGCATCTCCTACCATTTCACATCCAATGTAAGAGCTTCCGGGGGAACAAGTACAGATCGCAACTTTGTAAAGGACACATTAGACATCAAATTACCCCAGGAAATTGAATCTGATTCAATAAAAGGCTCTAATTTCTTGACCATGAGAGGCTTTAGTCTGTCAGCCTCGACTCTGGCCCATATCTGAAACCAATCTCTTTCTACACCGGGTCTTGTTCTCCACTTGGGCAACGCACCACTGGGAGTGATATTGCTCCCAACTACTCTTTCCAACTCTATGGGAAACCTGACATTAGATGATGCTTTAACATTCACTTTGACCAAACCAGAAACCTGATTTTGAAGAATCCTACGACTCAGAAGACTCCTCAAAACTTTTTCCAACATATTTAATCTCAGATTAAAGGAATTAATGGGGCATGCTCGCTTTCTGTACACAAGACCATGGTAACATTTTTCTGGGAGCAGCTCAATTGTGTCCCCCGAAATATATGTATTTTCTATGTACAAATCAGGATTCCGAGCTCTGTAGGCAACTAATGATGCGGAGCCTAATATGCGTATAGGGATTAGACTCATGCACATTGATTGCATAAAGGGCAAAAAACCACTCGTCCCTTTGTTAAACAAAGTGCTTTCATTTGTTTGCAGATCAAGATCTGATGAATGAAAAAGAGAGACTTCTTGAGCTCCTTTCACTTCTAATGTGATGCCTTCACCAACAAGAACGTGTTTCAAACCAGTATACGAGATATTCATCTGCATAACAAGGGCAAGAGTTCATAAAACATGAAGACTGCCAGTTATAGAGCAAGAGTTTGCCCTAATAAAGATTGCCATGCATATCAGAGAACAGAAACCCGATTCATGGGATGATAAATGTCAATTTTTAAGAAATCATTTGCAACATAAAAAGGATATAGATGCTAGCAGCCACCCAATTGAAAACACTTTTTAGGTTATATAATTAATTAATAACACTTAGAGCTCAAAGGAGGTTGTCCATATAAAAACACACAATAAATCAAACAACATCGCCCGGTTCGATCAGTAAGAGGACTACGCTCCCAAGAGCCATCGTTAAGGTCCTATTCTCTGTTTCGCAAGCCATCAATAGCTATATTCCTGAACTCCTCACGGCTTCATTTCCAGTCAACTGTCGGTGACAGTTCTTATACTCTCCATTATCGTGTGCTTCTCAAGTGTTTATCTACCTAAAATTAGCTAACTAACTAAATTTAACAATTGGATTCTCGCAGATCTCTCTAGTTTAATTAGCTAACTAACTAAATTTAACAATTGGAATCTCGCAGATCTCTCCACTTTAGTTTCAGTTCCTGGGAAAGAATATTAGAAGTGATTATGATAGTAGTAATAAAAAGCCTTAATTAGCTATAATCGACTTTCAGAAACAAAACGCATGTGCATAACTGATTATAAATTCTAAGTAGTAATAAAAAGCTCTAATCGAGTAGATATTCATAACTGATTATGATAGCAATTATAACTTTCAGAAACAAAACGCATATGCACTGCACGGAAGATTTTTTTTTTTTTCAGGCGTCAAACGGAGAAAAGGATTCATCCTGGATCAAGTTCCGATAGCAAGCCCTTACGAGATTATTAACAGCTTAGAAGAGAGATGAGGGCCCAATTAGAGACTTGAACGTTTAGATCTGAGCCAGATGGGACTAAAACAGTTGCATCATGCCATAATCTGCACGGAAACGAAAACCAGAAACAGTACATACCGGCAAGGAAAGAGTCAGTTGGTGATGTCTATCGACCCCTAACTCAAATGGACCCTCTAATTTGAAGGTATCAAGGACAGCAAGTGAGCTCACTCGACGAATCAGAGACCCCAGGTCAGATTTGGGCTTTCTAAACTTGTTCCAAGACCCAACTTGGTCCGAAGACCTGAGGAGCAAATAATTCCTGCCCAACCCGATTCGAAACTCATATTTGAGGGAGGAGCTGAATCGAGCCTTGCCAACATCGAACTTAGAAACTCTAACATCGTCGAAGTCCCATTTCTGTTTGGCCGAAATTGCCTTTAAGACGTCCTAATTTCCATAAATCAAGAAAAGGGAAACTGAGAAAATTAATTCAAGACTTTTATTATGATTGATAGAGTATAAATATAAGATTGAGAAGAAGAACATGACGGAAGAAAAATCAGATGTAGGATTTGACGGAAGGAACCTGCAAAATGTAGGAAGCGTTGGGATCAGAAGGAGAGGGTCTAACAGGAGAAGGATGAAACGCAAGGATCTGGAGAAGAAGAATCAAGAAGCCAGAGATGCAACCAATTATCATCGTCGTCCGTGTGCCTGTACCGGCGTGGGGGCGAGGCGGAGCGCAAACGGCTAAACGCTATAACGTTCTATCCAGTGGGCTCAGGGGCTTAATGCATTGCGATTTTACCCCCAAAAAAAAAATGATGAAAAAATTAGCATGCGTCCATGGCCTTGCAGTATAATGAATAACATTTTCCCTGGCCAGCAAAAAATGAATAAGATGATCTTGAAGTTCTCAATATATAAAAACTCTGAAGGGTGCCACGTGGCGGTTGAATAGGGAACTCTTCCCTCTAAGCATTCGGCCTCCTAGTTCTTCCCATTAGTGATAGCCAAAAACAACATGATTCATTTGAGAATGTTGAACTGAGTTAGTAGCCAAATAGGCGGCACGAAGGTTGTCACGATAAAGAACAGTAACTAGAGCGACTATCATCGGTATACTCTGTTGGGAGATAGGCGTAAAAGCAGAACACGATCGCCAGTACGCATGCCTGAGGCGGCACAGAAGACGTTTGATGGCTTGCCAATTAATCACCGCAGGGCACTGGGTTGATAAAGGATTTTTTTTTTTTTTTTTGACCGGAGGGGTTGATCAAGGATTGGCACCCTGTCAAAGGAAACATCAGGCAGTATAAATGAAGTTTATTAAGGAATTGATATATGCCATTAATTAATCATTTTTATTTGCACCTTATACCAGCTTGAGTTGCACAGATTTACCAGAAAAAATTACTCATATTTCTTTTCTTTTTTTTTAAATACGAAGGGAACATCTCGTTTTAACTTTTTACTCCGGCAAATGGTGCTTTCCGCTGAACGTTCAACGCAAAACAAAGTGTTTGGATAAATTTAAATCAGATAATAGCTTCTGAAAAAAATGATTTTGAGAATAGATTTTGTGAAAAAAAATAATTTTGATAAAGTGAGAGTACTTAGACAACTGTTATTAAAAGAGGTACAAATTACCAAAAAGTATATGAGTTAATATGATAATTACATAAAAAATAAATTTTAGTTTATATTTTTATTTCAAAAAATAAATTTGCTAATAATTTTTTGCCAATATAATAAATAAAATATTAAGAAAAATTAATTAATTGTTAGCATATGTATATATATTTATAAAATATGAGATTAAAAATGTTTTTGGAAAAAATAAATATTTTTTTGCCAACAATCTCTAGAACCATCTTGAACTGAAACCATGGTTCAAGTCCAAACCATATTTTTACTAAAAATTAAGGTGTTTGGATGTTTTTTAATCTAAACTATAGTTTAAAGTCTAAAAGTGCTTTTTGAATAATTACCAAACATCACAAAGTTTTGTTTGGAATCATTTAAATAAGTACTTATAAACACGTTTTATATAAATTAAGATAAAAATTCTTTCCACATATTTATTTTGTATTCTATCAAAATATGTTCCTTTCAAATGCAATCTCTATTAAAGAACCAAATAGCTTTTGTTCATATTTGGATAGCTACAAAATTTTTCTTTCCTCGTAATGGCTAGCGGCATTGGTAACAAAAACGGGCTACGTCGTCTAAACTATGGATTTTGAAATACGAAAAACAAGGAACAACAATTAATTCAGAAATTTATTCAGGAATTGAACATTAATTTGTAAGTGTTTACAAGACACATGAGCATAATCAAGCCCTTGCAAACTCATTGTTGACTTGTAAAGCCCCACAAAGTTTTGACGGGCATCAGCTTCATCCCCATGAACGCTTTTCCACGGATCCGGATCCGGATCCAGGGGGACTTAAAACACCCACTACGACCCAAATCGACCACATTGCTTCTTTCGTTTTCTTTTATTTTTCAGACCCGAGCTTCACCGTGGAGCAAAACTTGTCAGTAAAGAATGCGTCGGTGTTCGCTCTAAGGTCATGTACAAAATTTACACCAATTACAACAATGAATAAGATATTCGACCAACACAGAATTCACGACCGTCGGTCTCATCTTGGAAGATTGTTGAATGTCAACAAACAGCCGATGGATCAAATAATTGTCATCTAAAAATCTTCATCACCTCTTGGCAGCAGAGCACGTGTCAAGAAACAGCCAGAGAATTGTTTGCACTTGGTGATTTATAAAGGGTGTCAGATACTTTAGAAGGAGGCCAGTACCGAAGCATGGATCTACCAACGATGTTCTTTATAGGAAGCGGACCCCTGAAACAAAAGATTACAGCAAATAGGTTATATACTTCATGAATTTGATCTCTCATATGTGTGTAAACTGGTGACACCAGTTATTACGCGTCATGACAAACTCCAGAGTCCAGACACAGATTAATCTCGGATAGAACGTTTACATATAACATGTTTCGAGAAGACCTTCATCTATGAATGGGCCAAAGTGAATCTCCCGCCTAAACCAACTTATCATCCAAAGAGCAACGAAAAATCAGTACTAACAAGAAGACTGAGGAATTACCAATCATGTGAATCATAGCTATTATTACGATTGTCTCCCAACACAAAGACATAACCTTCTGGCACAACCTGCAACCAAAAATAGAACAAGCGTAAAATGCTGCAAAAGCCCAGGATCAATTATTAAAGTGGCGTTACAAGATAAGGAAAAATTCAACCCTGCGGCAAATGATAAAAACATTACCACTGGATCCATCTCATAAGAAAGGGGCTCTAAAACGAATTCTTCTTCTTGAGCAACACCATTCACCAGCAGTTTTCCATCACGAACCTACGAGAAACTCAAAAAGGTAAAGGTGCGATATGGTAGAGAGGAGAAACAAGTATTGGCCGAAGACAAGTGCAACAACCAAGTGAGACCCCTTTATTACTCAAAATAGAACTCACCTCTACACAGTCACCAGCCTTTGCCACAATTCTCTTAATAAATACATCGGCCGAATTAAAACCTTTTTCCTATTTCACGCCAAGATATCAAGGATGACGTATCATTAGCATCTCTCTAGCAGAGAAAACAACCAGAAGCGACTGTAATAAAACTGAAACTGTATAAGATACCTGTAAACTTGGAGGTGCTTTAAAAATGACTATATCTGAAACATCAGGCTTACGGAAAAGGAATGAAACCTGTTACATCATTATCAAAAACAAATGCATTTAGTTTACCACCAAAAAAAAAAAAAGAAGCAATGTATGACAATCTCTGCTCTAAATTTGATTTACTGAATTCAGACGCCACCATATTCACCCCTAGATATCAGTTAATAAAGTGAATATAACGACCTATTTTCCGGAATCAAATCAAGGGCTAACTCTTTAGTCATGCCTAGATAAAGAAAGCATCTTTTACATACTTATAGGTGCACAAACAGCAGACCTCAATCTCTTCTTTCCAAGATTTCAATCCCTAGAATTCGGAGATGGTTAGTGCTTAAGGTTCAAATCTCGAATGCACCAAGTGAGAAAAGAGTTGACATTGATACATTGATGCCCTTAAATGGTCGCAGGACCTGAAGAATTAAGTCAGCATCTTTCTCTTATACTTAACATGCTTAGCTGAGCTTACCAAAATTTTCGACATAACGATTGATCATACAAATTTTCTTTATCCATTACAATTAGGACTAGAAAGAGTCGTAAAGATTAAAAAAAAAAAAAAAACCTTGATTTCCCAACAAGAACTAACCTTCTCCGCTAAAATACGGTCACCCTCTTCCAGAGTTGGGTACATAGAAGACGAGGGGATCGATCTCGGTTCAGCCAAGAATGATTTAAAGAGCACACTAACAGTCACAGCAGTAAACACAGCCTTCGCATCCTCTGAACAGCCGTTCAACAAGCGCGATAGCCAACTTGACTTCTCAAGACCTTTGGAACTGTACCCTGAATTCGCATCGTCACTGTCCTTATAACACAGTGTCCCTCCTTTATCCACCTCAAAAGTTGCAGGAATGGGAGTTGACTCGTTACTAGGAAGGTTCCTCGATCCCTTTAAAAAGGGAATAACCGCAGAGGCATTAATGGGGGAAACACCAGATACAGCCATAGTCGCCGCAGATGATGCTGATACCGAACCCGTTGACTTCAATAGCGAAATCAAACCCAACATGATCGGATTATCAGAACTGTCTCCCAGAAACTCTTTGGAGATAATAGAATACAAAGAGGCTGAATTCTTAGCCCAGCAATTCGGATTATGCCGCCCGTAATCGGAACGGTAATTACGCACGCCTCCGGAGGGATCACGATCAGGCTTCTGGCTAGGGCCGAATAAGCGAGATCGGATCCAGCATTCGTGGAGGTAACGCGAATTACCAGCACGACAACCGGCGGAAGCCAGGCCCTGGGCAAAGTAGCCGGAGTAGGATAAAGTAACTCTGATAGCCATAACTACAAATTGAATAAGCTTGAAGAAGTAGAGGTACAGAGTGACGTCAGAGAGCGAACAGTGAGATCTAGGAAACCCTAGCAGATGATCGGAGCCATTTTCACCGAAGAAACCAGTGAATCGGAGGCGGAAGGGTTGAATTGACGCGGGGAGAAACTAGCAGCGCGGGCGGGAACCACCGGTGATCCCAAAAAGGAGAAGAGAAGTTAGAGGGATCGGACAAGAACAAAGGAATCGAATCGAGAAGAGGACAAGCTGGAACAGAGTTCCGAAGCTTTTCCTCGGCAAGCCAAACACTCAGAAACCTCAATGGAGACTGCAGGGGTCAAAACAGAGGCCTCGGTTGGTTGGGGTGTATTTATTTTAGGCGGCTGCTAGTTTTTTTTTTTTTTGGGCCAGAGCTGCTAGCTTATTTACATTACGAGACTTCGGTTCGTACAATATTTACGACATTACCGAATCCAGCTTCCCCAGTACCCCCCCCTCTTGGGGTCTCGGATTTTAAGATTACAAAAAATGGCAACCAAAAAATTTAATCCTGTTTATTTACAATTTGTTGGAGAAAATTGTGTTGCTGTTTATATGTTATTTGTATTTTTTAATGCTTTATTTTTAACTGTGTCACTATTGATTATAAATGCGAAGAGAGGAAGAATGAATAAGAGAAAATATATTACACATTTAATAAAGACAAAAGTGAAATATCTCATCTACTTAATGTTCTTCTTGGTATATAAGAAATTCTTATACTTCTCTGCTTTTATTTATATTGTATAGAAAAAATATTTTTTTATCCTATTTATAGAGAAAAAAGAAATTTTTTGTATAGATGTGTAATTTTATCTTTTATTTATTATTATATTGTTTTTATTTATGTCAAATATGCTATATCTTTAATAGGAATAAAATTAAAAAATTTTAAAATTTTAAAATTTTTTTATCCGTCTGAAACATATCGAAGTAACTTATAAATGTTACTAAAAAAAATAAATGGCAAGTAATAAAGATAAAAGTGATATCAGCATATTGTAGTCGCAGAACCCTACATAGACGTGAATTTGAGATGCCTGCGAAAATTGGAACAGAAAAAAAAAAGAGAAGAGTATAAATAAATAAAATGTTTTATGTAATTTCTGGTCAAAAATAAAAAAAATTATAATAGTTAAAATATTAAAATAATACTCCCTCCGTTCTTTATTATAAGAAACATTTGATGTTTATGGTATGTTCCCATATATAAGAGACACTTAAAAGTTATATCTATTTTTTTGTATTGATTTCCTATTTTACTCCTATTTATTTTGTTTCCAACTCATACTCTCTCCCCCTCCCACTTCTCTTTTTTTTAATAACTTAATTGTTCTCTCTCATACTCTCTCCTTATTAATAGGGGGTATTGTTGGAAAAAATATTATACTTTTTACATATTAATTGTCCTCAACTAATTTTAACTGTTTTTTTTATCAACGTGATTTGGTTATTTGTCTCTTATAATAAGAAACGGAGGGAGTAATTTTTAAACAGGAACCAACCAGGCAGCTTCCCTTTGTTAATTGACGATATTAGGCCTACAGATTCGCACCGCATCCGAAGCTGGAGGAACAAAGCCTATGACGTAAGGGCGCACGTCACCGATGATAGCCGGCTCATATTATAATGAGAAATCACCCCCGTTGGCCATTGCAGCGCAACTTCTTCAAAATTCTGAATTTGACTATATTTATTTATTGATGCCAAAACTTTGACCAAATTCGGATGCTTAATGGGGAAGTCACGCTCCCCCGTTGCCCCCAAAAAAATGGGGAGGGGGTGGGAACAACAACATCCTGCGCTTTTATTTTGTCTTTTTTTTAAAAGAAAATTAAGTGTATACATATTAGATAATATTATTGCCACGCCAATTTTTTTAAGCATTTTGATGTGTTCCAAAATTGTTTTCGTGATTAGTATTATATTTTTTACCAAAATTATTAATTAATATTATATATTACATGAAAAATTAATCTTTTAATCCTTGTAGTTTTCAATCATTTGTAATTCAATCCTTATATTTTAATTTGATGCAATTTAATCCCTATAATTTTGACTCGGTTACAATTCAGTTTCTGAAATTTAACTCACTACAACTTAGTCTCTATATATTTAACCATTTTATAATTTAGTCCCTCTTTTTATTAGATATATAATTTTATTTTTCAAAAATGTGTACAACGACTAAATTATAAAATGAATAAAACTATAAGGATCAAGTTGTAACGAGTCAAGCTTCAATGATTGAGTTACAACCCCATCAAAACTATAAAGACCGTCAGACACTATGATTTATTCAATGTAAATAAAAATACAAATTTTATTCGATGATGATACATACAAATAAGTGGAAGGAGTGTTACGCGCTATGATTTATTTTTAAAATATTTACAATATGTGGCAATTTATTCAATTGAGGTTAATGTCAAATTAAAAGTTGCGAACTTATGCCTACGCTCCCATGAATTAAAAATGTATGTTATCTTAAATAGCAATATTATTATTATTATTATTACTATCAGTATTTTTATCATGAAGAAGAAGAAGATATGAATTTTATGCCTCATAGTATTTTTTATATTATTCCCATTCTTCATAAAATAAATGTAAATGATCTTTTTATGTGGAACAAAAATTGAGAGAGTTTCCTCGCGTTGGATGCGATAGAAATCTGGGTTTAAACTAGTCAAAAATGGAGAGATTTTATAATAAGTGCATGCTCACCAAAAAATACTTGTAAACGGTCTTGAGCTCATCTACTAATTCTTTATGTTTTATTTATTCATTTTCTTTTTTATTGTTATTACTTACTTTTATATCGAACCAGGAAATTTGCAAACGTTTGCTACGACAAAACCTTCGTTCAAAAAAAAAAATTGCAGGGAATTTCACATACCACGTGGGTTCTTCTTATTAACAGCTTTCTTTGCCAGGACATGATAAATACTAAACAGACAAATAATCTTGCAACTAGTTATACAGTGAACTCCACTGACCATAGATCACGACCAAGTCAGCAGGTGCATGCACCAAACCTTCATTTCACCAAAAAGATTTTATATTCTCGTTGACTTTTTGAGGATCCGCCTCAACCCCCACCATAACATTTCATTCTGCATTTTAGCAATGTTTTCCGGATCCGACTAAAAAATTGATCCCATTAAGGCGGGGATGCGAGGTTGGATGATCATGCCTTTTTTTTTTTTGGAACCGTAATTGGGTTAAATTAAACAATTTATATAATTTTAAAAGTGTGTATTGAGGATAAAGATGTCTTAAACACTCATATTTATCAAATCTCCGTTAATTGTCACGTGCTAGATTTTAATGGATAAAAATTCACAACAATTTTACTCTCAAGTTCAAGTACTTACTGAAACAATATTTTTGCTTCTTAATATAAAAAATAATTTGACATTTAATTTGATCCTAAATATAAAATTTCAATTCATATTGTCTCTTATATTTACTGATTTTTTTAGGATAGTTTTTATAATAATTACATATGTTAAATATTTCATCAAGTGGTACTTCTAGTTAATACACATGATTAGTAAGAAAATTTGATGACCACTACTTCTGATAAATTTCTGTGCCGTTTTTTTCCCCGCAGATTTATTAATGCCCTTTTATTATGTGGCTCACTCTTTTATTTTATCCGCGGTCATCCTCTTGATGCTTCTTGGAGCGGCAAAGTCTACCCCATAATATAATGCTAATAGCAGGTATTAGCGGTGAGTTAAGTCACTAAAATTTTCCAGGGAGAATAACATCCACGGTTCCAGCGAGAAATATAACACTTTAATTCATAGTTAAATAAAAAACTCATCAATACAGTATATCACAGTCGTCAATTTTAAGCGGTCGTATATTTGAAAAAACAAAGCGACGATAAATTTTTCACGAGGGCCTCAATTGTTTTGTCTTTTCCAATTATTTACGTGGAAAACGATATTAACTTTAACTGAGCCAAAAATTCCCATATATTATCCCCTTCGAAGCACCCAGATATGGCTTCTCCATTCGCAGCCAGTCAAAAACAAATCTGGTGAGGTCCAATATTGGGCTCAGTTTAATTCAGACCCGTCTGGGCTGGCTCGTGGGTTTAGCTAGCCCATTATTGACGACAGTTTTAGTGGGTCACAAAACTCGATTTTCGCAGTCCTCTAACAAAACTCATTTACGGAGGGCGACTTCTTTTTAAAACAACTTCTTTTTTAATGATACTTCTTTCTCCAGCTTCGCTTCGAAGCAATGAAGAATTTGCATGCCTGTCCGCTCAAATGATTGAATGAACCCTCTCTGGGGCTATATGGATTCTATAACAAAATTTTACCCAAAACGAAACGAGTTTGATGAAGAGAAAAGATAATATAAAAACATGTTTCGATCGGATTACCATGATTTCATCGACACGCCATACATGTATATTTACATCGAAGAACTAAGATTCTGTAATCCGTAACTACATTGAACGCCGGTAAATACAGTATAAAAGCTAAAATTTAAAATGGTGGTGTAAAAATGTTAATCTTGGCATAAAAATGCACACACACATTGCCTGCAAGGGTCGGTCCGACTGGTTGATAGGGGAAGGCAAGGCGCCGCGTACCCGTCAGGTCTTGGGCTCGATACCTGCAAGGCACCTTGGGATTAGTCTGGTCAGTTTCGGCTGGGATACCCTGAGTTAGCGATAACATCCTATTAAAAAAAAAATGCACACATTGGAGTACAGTATACACAAATTTCCGGGAAGAAAAGAAGAGCTGGGGGGAGGAGGGAGGCAGCAGAGGCGAGGCGCAGTACCATGCATCTTGTGATTTTTTATTATTGATTTTATTTGGTGGAGGCACGTGCCTGTGTCTGCGAAGTCTGACACTTACTCCGCCATCTTGCTTTTCCCACCCTCCCTATTTCCAATGTCGTGTTCCGCACAACTTCCCCCTCCTTGCCCTTGCGCCTCTCCTACCTTCGTCCTCTCTTCCCCTCCTGAGTTCGGATCCCTTAAATCCAGATAAGTTTTGATATTGAAAAGTAGTTAAAATAAAATGGGGAGAGAAAATGAACGGCAGCATACGAATGGAAAAGCCACCATTGCCACGCGCCATGGAGAAGGAGGGCGTGTGGTTCGCAAGTTGTAATGAAACCTGAATGTCCAGAACAAGTCCCATTCGTCGGACCCACCACAAAAATAACCCCATCGCTCCTAGTCTGATTCACATTTGACCTTTTGACCAGCCCAGTCACGTTACGCCACTTCATTCCCACGTCTCTCTCTTCATCCCTCA